CCGTAATTTTATTTCATTGTCTTAAGAAAAGAGTGTTTAGGTTAACTTGTAAAGCTGTTTTGAAGAAAAATATTCAGATAACTTGCCAGATATTGGAGCTTCAGATGTATTTCTTATGGAACTAATAATATAACGTAATCTTGATCTTCCTAATGCATACTTTTCGCGATCCCATGCATTAAAAATTGATGGACTAAGACACTGTTTAAATGTGGACAATGTTGATTTTTTTTCCAAATTGGTCATGTTACAACATTCAACAAACAAACTTTGCTTTATGGTTAACATATATATAACCATTTTCAATTCATTTTGTCATAATTTTGTTTTCCGGGGGGGAGCTAAACATAAACAAAATTACAAGAAAATTATGATATTTTATTTTTAAAGAACTTTTTTATTTTCAATTAAAACGAAAACAAAATACACTTATTGATAATAACACCACATAAAAAGTATGTTTAGACCAGTAATGTATACGCCGTTATTTAAAATAAAAATTATGACACGCCTGTAAAAAATCAAAATCTATATAAAATATTTGTAAAGTTTCGGGGAAAGCAATTAATATAAAAGCAGAATTATAATTAAAGGTTCTGTTATGAATTATATAATTGTTATGAAATTATATTAATGTAAATATACTCTGCAATATAAAGTGATATACACGTTGTAAGAATGGTAACTTAAAAATGCTTCATATTATACCATAGAAGCTCTACACTATCACGATGTCTTAGAACTGTTTACCTTAGTTGTCAAACCTTTAAAACCCTGATAGAAATAGCAATGACTTTCATTGGATGATTCTGGCAAATACGAAGGCAGATTTGCTCATTGGTTTTACTTGCGGTAATTGCAAAAAGAAATAGAAAAAATAACCAACCTTAAAGTTCACTTTTAAGTGTGTTTGTTAACAAGATACATGTAATTATAAAAATTATATAAAAGATGGATTTTAAACAAACACGTCAAAAAATATATATTGTAACATTAACATGATCATTTTGTCTATCAGAAATGTTTAAGTAAATTTAAATAGTTAAGAATCTATTATTTCTCAGAGTTTTTCAATAGCACAATTGAATTTAAACAAGAGAATAACGATGGCTTTTCATAAAAGTAAAATAAGCTGGTCCAAACTGTAATTTATCACTTAATGTTTGCACTCTTTATGTCATTGAAATATTGAACGTTTTTGAAACAATTTGAATACAGCCAAGTTTGTCTTTGTTTATGCTTTCAGAAGGAAGCCGAGTTAAACTCGCCTATAAGAACCAATACATTTATGTAGTCCTTTTCCTCTTCCATTGTAATTTCAATAGTTTCATACAGGTGTATTGGTTCTGTTACTTGTCTGTGAAGTAAATGAAAGTATAAGCTGTTCCTCCATTGAAATGTTTCTGTCATTGAAATGTTTCTGTCAGATTTAAATATCATCCTCTGTACTGGAATAGAATTGATTCTATAATTAACCTTCAAAGCACATATCTTTGCAACATAAACTAAAGAGTGCAATCAACAAAAATGCATTACATTTCATCTAATAAGGAATTACAAATATAACTAACAGCCAATGAAAACTGAACCAAAATGACCTCGTATTTGAACTCACACATTTTTGATTATGAGAGAATGTTTAGCATAAATTTCACCCGTGATTTCACCAGTATATTATAGATATTCTTCTAGAAATGTATTACATTGTCAAATGAAAGTTTAGTAAACTATGAAATTCTAAATAAAATAAGGGAGTGTTGACATAATGGTCCAGATCTCCGCCTCTCAACTGAGGAATAGTAGGCTCAAGTACGTCCATGTTGATTGTTGAACAAAGATTCTTTGTGAATAAAATATTATTAAGTTGATTTACCCTAAAATGAGTCCTATATTTGACAATTTATCAATCACCTGTGCAAGAGGCACTTGGAACCATTTCATAAAATAAATAATTAATGCAGTGTGCAATGGTAGGACGTACACAAGTCATTGCAATGAATTCGAAATTACAAATTATTAGGCTTAATTATAAAATAATCCTTTTCAATTTACTTACCATTGTTTTCCAAGCAGATTTTTTCAACAAAATGGCGGGCGCACATGTGTGTACATTCGAAATACTTCTATTTGATCCGTACATAGACTTAGACTGCCAATAAGCAGTAGGCAGTGAGCAGCAGGCTGTCCAGTTAGCAGTAGGCAGTTAGCAGTAGGATATCGTTTATGGAATTCCGTATGCATGTCCTCGATAAGCTACCTGGCTCTATGTACGTTTATAAGTTGAATGTAGATTAATATACATGTATTACATTTGCATATTGCTTCGTCTGTGATTCACAACCGATTTTACAAACTATAATTACATAGATGTCGGTCGGCAAAATTTGTTGGGCTAAGTTAGAACGTGCATAACTTTTTATCTTTGACATCGCTGTTGAATCGTAGTTTATTGCTGGTTGTCCATATGATGTTCACATGTATATAAATATCATTCATGCGACGATGTAACTGTTAATTCGTTGATTGTACCATGTAATACACCACGAAACATCCGTGCCAGTCGACGAAAACAAGAATGTCCGGTTAGTTAAGTGCACATCAATTTATTATATCAAAATTATGTCTGACAGATCAAATCATAATTGTTTGATAATAATTAAATGTTTTATTATTTTGTTTTTGATTGATGTTGGTATTTTTAAATGAAATAAATGAAACTGGTTTATGATAAACAACTTTTTTGTAGGAATAATGCTCTGAGAAGCAAGGCGCTGGATTTTTGTGATTTTTAGCAGTTTAGAACTACTGGTATATTGAATATAACACAATTTCAAATAATTATAATTTAATAGATTTTTGTGAGTTGATAACGTTTTCTTAATTTACGCTTATGATTGAAGACAATGTGTTATTATTACCTCACTAGCATGCAGTGTTGTATATGTTATTGTTTTGACATAACACTGGAAGTCTGTAAAGCGTTAGAGTTGTGAGCTGCTAGTTCCCTCTAAAAGATATGCATCTGTCATCCATAAAGTGCAATTGCCAGATTTTACTTGCGTGTGGTTTAAATAAACTTAAACTTTAACATCTGACATCTCTATCAATCATTATCAAACTTAAAGATAAAATGGCATTGCGTTGTATAATACAGGTGCATGTACTTTCACACTAAAACTACTGACAACATATCTTCAAGTATCATTACTTAAAATAACTTTGAAACTCATAAAAAGAAATTTAACGCATTTTACTTACGCTTTTTTACGAACAATAAGAAACGAACGCTATCTCGACTTATTACGACTTACTGAGTGCTGCACATACGCCTCAACGAACTATGGTACTGGCCATGTTTTGTTTAAAGAAATAGATTAACCTGCGACACTTGTCCAAGTAGTTATGCGCGGTTTTTATTTTAAATAAGTGTGATTATTTATTATTGTTTGGTTATGATTGATAGCTGGTCTGTTTGGTTTTCTTTTTATCTTTTATAATATTTTGTGTAACTATGCTTGTTGCATTTATGCGCAATTTCAATAGTATTTGGAATGACTGGACTTCTGTTGATATCTCTGAACTCTATCTACCCGGTCGGAAGGCAAAACACGCAGATTTCGCTTTAGAGTTCGAAGTCTTCGGACCTTGGAAATGTGTACAGTGATGCCCTTCAAGATTCAATTTCGAAGCGCATAATAGTGATAATTTACCTCCGTGACTGTTAGCCAAAGATATGATTTTTGAGGCGAAAGGAGGTCGTGTATAGCGGTCAATGAACACCTAAACGTACAGTAACCTGCGTACTAGGGGCTCATGAACCCTAGTGCCCTTCTTTGTCGTCCCTTTCTACTTTGTAAGGCCACTCCCCTTGGCTTCAGTCAGGATATCGGCAACTTACTTCATACAAACGTTACCACATGCTGCAGAAAGCATGCGAACTTGCCGTCACACACGTTGCATATGAGGATCTTTAATCACGACGTGCACATACTGATGGAAGAGGGGGGTGAGGGGCGCGAAACCTTTTTTAAGGTGAAGTTTCGCATTTTTTTAATGTTCAGTCGAGGATGAAAATGTCTCCTAGTGTTTACTAGTTCAGGAATCATAATCGCTAGATGGCTATATTTTACTTAGGACATATGTGACACAGTCCTCGGTACGGTCCTCGACTTCTTAAATGGTGTAGCGTAAAACTTCAAAATTAATACTACATGTATTACTAAACTTTATTACATGCTTTTCGGTGGTTTATAGAAATATATCAGTGATATAAAACTGGTAATTTCACTGTTTGAAACAGTGAAATTACCACTTTGATAATTTCACTGTTTTGAATTTAAGCCCCTTACGTTGTTTCAGTGAAATACCAGCGTGCACAGTACTGGGAACCAACTTAATGACGTGACGTCGTAAATGACGTCACGTTGTATTATTATTTGGCGCGCTTTTCATTCAGTATTAGGTTTTTAAATAATTGTCTTTTAAAAACGTTTCTTTGCATATAATAAAAAGAAAATTTGTTAAGTTTAGTGTAAGATCGAAATATATTTCACCGAGTGAGCACCTAAAGGTATATTTCACGAGTGGCGTAGCCGCGAGTGAAATATGAACTTTTGGTGTTCAGACATCAAGGCCCAACTGGAAATAACAAGATCGTAAAAAACACCGTTGCAAACTTTATCATTATATATTCAGAATACGGTGTCACTATAATATTATTGAATCTACACCCATTGTCCAAAGTAGGCCTAATTTTGTCATAAACTATAAATTCAGTCAAAACCAGATTTCCTCATAAGTCTCCAAAGTATAACTAGTGACAAGTCCTCATGTTTGATAAATGGGATATTTTTACTGTCACACTGACATAGCTAGTCATATTACAGCTAAACTGCAGGCAGGATACGCAGGGGTAAAAGTAACAGAAACTGAAAATACTGAACTAAAAAGTTGGGGGTCTTGCAATTTGGTGAATTACAAAGCTAAAAAAAAGGCTCAGATACATACTCAAGTGCTTTATTTATCTTCAGATGTAATTAAAATGATATGTTAAAATTTACACAAATTCACTGAGCAATACATATACAATCCACATAAATGGATTATGTTCATTCTTTTTACTATTTTCTATTTCATATCTTAGATTTTTCATGAGAGATTTTGCCACATTACTTATCATGTGTACTGTGTCCCCTACTGATGTCCAACAGACAGCTATTTTTTCTTTCTGATCAGTGCTTCAACACCTCCTTTCACACCCCTCATTGTGCTGCAGTTATCCATTTAAATACTTATGATCTGTGACCATTTAATATCATACTCCTGCAGCACACTCTCAACTGACTTGACAATTTCTTCAGATGTGGAAACATTCTGAATTCTCGATCCTAAATGATCCAATACTACTTGATTTGTTTCATCATCAAAGTACTGAATGATTATATTCAGTACTTTGTCATTGTTTTTGTTAGTTGCCTCATCCATATTCAAAGATATAAACTTATCTTTCACTTTTGACCTCACTTCATCCTTAAAAGATTTGGCTACACCATGTGTTGTTATGTACATTGCACTGGTTGGAGAAAGAGTAGTTTTTTCAAGAGCAGGCTTGTCTTCAGCTTAACGTTTGGCAAGATCTAAGAGATCGCCCACTATGGAAAATGGCAGACAATGTTCACTCAGAAAGGCAGTTGTGATTGCTCTTTGTTTGGCAATACGGTCTTGCATGCTTTCAATCTTTTTGTCCACAGCTTTTGATGAGCCTGGCAGTACCTGAAAAGACAATTTTCAAATGAAAGATGTATGAAAATATATCAAATAGAATATCACACTGATAAAATTGTCAATTTAGTTCGGAAAACAGGAGATAATCAATCTAAAAAACACAGATATTCAAAATCATTTTCTAATCCTTAAAAAATTCAGCTGAAAAAAAAATTTTATTTAGGTGGGAAAAAAATCAAAGTCCAGACCTATGAAAAATTTGGGCATAGGTTCCCCTGCACAAGGCCATTTTTTAATTCAACCCCCAACCCTTGCCCTGACCATATGAAAGTGGGGGGGGGGGGGAAGACAGAAGAAAAAGAGGGTGGGGTAATGTGCATTGTTTATTAACAACACAATGCACAACTAAACCTCTTTTCATTGCTAACTCTAGATAGTGACTAAACTACACAGAGAAATGATCTTACTTGGTTTGTTTTTACTGTCCTAAGATTCTTTTTGTGGTCCTCATCTTCAGCGTGATTACGAAGCACCTTTTTTCCGTTCGATTTGTAGTTGATCGTTTTGGAACAGGCTTCACAAAAGGCAATGCCCATTGCATTTGGTTTCTTCAACCAAGCATCCCATTTTTCACCTTTAGAGTCCTTTTCCGCTAACCACTCCCACCTCCATTTGTTTTTTGCACCTTTTTCCAGATCGTTAGTATTAAAACCAGGCGGTAAACACTTCATTGTTGTTGTTTTTGTAAAACACTGACAATTTTTGTACATGTATTTTGAAATCAAATGACTATGCAACAAACGATTTCATTGGCTGGTGAAAATAACGACGACCAATCAAATCTGATCTTGTATAAACTAGCTCAATTTTTCATCGGCAATCTCCGTATTGTAATAGTATTTCCCACTTGTAGAAAATTTGTGCAAACGGGTCTGAGATGGACAAATCTATTCAAAATAATGTATCAAGCAATGTGCACTCGCTAATTAATGAGGCATGCACACACACCCTACCCGATTTCTCATCGGATTTACGTCATTCAGAAAAACGACCTCGGAGATCGCCGAAAATACGGAATTCCGTCGTGAGACGGAAAACTTTTACCCCTGGATACGTCATTTATATATGAACTAGTAAAATGTTTCATTGTTTTATACATCATGGAAACTACTGTCTACAAAGTTACAAATATCTGACAGAAAGCTATTTCTAAAATAACTTCTTTGACAATCACTTTTTCACATATAAGTTTTGTACGTTTCTGAACTCACTGAACATGTTAATAATTTTTTATCTTCAACTGGCAATCCAAATACGCCCATACAGAAAACTCCCAAATTCTGATAAACACTCCTTTATCATATGACAGACCAACGTTTCAAAATAATCAGCATTTTTGATATATCTAGATATCTAGCTTTACCAAGGTTCCACTAGGTGCCTCCAATTAAACACGGATGACACCTGCGAAATTCTTCCTGCAGTGAAGCTGAAGAATCGCAATATTACTTGAATCATTAATATATGTAGTAAGTTAAAAATCCAACCAAAGGTACAGGAGATAAAGACAACAAGATTTGGCAGATCATCCACATCTGTTTATTGACAACATTTTATTTATTTACGGACATGAGTGTAATGAGGTCACACAGCATATTTTACTGGTACAACAATATTTATACAAGGTCCCACACGTAACTGTTTACAATAACAAATCTAAACCACTGTCACACTTATCTAGTTCTATTCTAGTAATCTTCATATTCTAATCCATCATGCTAACTTTAAGTCTCTGATCTGAAAAAACAAACAACATTCCAGTCTTTTAACGAAATATTTGTCAAGTTCTAAGTAAACATTCAGAATGTATTACATGTATTTAACTTGCAGAAATATTTTGCGCAGATACGAATACAGTAAGAGTACAGTATTAACACTTTTTCTCAAATGATTTTCATTTTGGCAGATGAATGGACTTACATACATGTTTCACAATGACACTTCCTAGATGAAACAACAAATATTTCTATAGAACACATTATAACTAACGGGTAACATTTATTTCCTTATTTGTTTACTAGTATTTCTCAATGACTAAATAATTTATGCTGATAATACCAATGATATGATAATTCAGGGTACAGGTGAAAACTGTCTATTTTTATGATTGTGTACCATTAGATGGCCCAACTAATACATTCCTTTCCACTGAATGTAATTGCAATTGTCTGTGAAATAAAGAAAATATTTTAAGATAATACATTACTGTGTTTAAATGTTCAGAAACAGAAACAATACAAAATATAGAAAATCCCTAAAACCATTAGTACAATAGTTTAAAATGTATACTTTCAAACACCTATTTGGAAAGATTGATAAAAAGTACAAATTATTTTCAAATACACTATTTTGTACACTGTATTATCCCACGGTGCATTTTGCTACCTCTTATTAATGAAAGTTGAGAAAAAAATACAGTACATTCTATCTTCTATACCACAAAAAAATACAGTTACAAAAAGCCATTTTAAGTCACCTATTTGACTAATCTTAGTCATATGAATTGAAAGATTACAATTAAAATAAGAATCAGTGGTTAAGACTTTAATAAATACACATACATCAGTATTATTACTATTACTTTACTTAGTCTAATGACTTTTAACCTAAACAGCTACTAATTATTCTTTACACCATTGACATTATGGTTCTTTAATAACAGACAGATGAAAAATCAATTTAATCAATCCCTGACATTTCTTTCATAATAACATCAAGTGTTAAAATAACGATTATAACAACTTAACATAGAAATGTTAGTGATCAACAAATTCGATCATTTAATTTTAAGTTTAATTTTACTATAATGTCTTTATAATGTCTTTAATCATGCAAATTATGATTTTTTTTTTGAATTCCAATATTCTTTGTAATTTTATTTAAATCTCAAAATATATGTACTGTTTTATTCCAGTCCATTGATTTTGATAGGCTTACTCTTGTAAAGTTCTTTCAATATAAACTTCAAATTGAAAAGGAACTATTAAAAAAACCCACTAAATGTTCAGATCTCTGTCAACAGTACATTTACAGTATCACACATATACACGCGAACACACACACACACACACAGTTCAATAAACAGTTTATATAACTCTCACTATTCTACTCTATAAAATATAATGATAAATATCAAAACATCACACTATGCATAGAACTACCATGGTTTATAGACCACATTCACCTACAGGCATTGAGATGAATGGAGTAACTTATATATTGTCTTACATTACCATTTTGGCTAAATGAAAATATGACCTGCCTTTAAATATTTAGATGCAATTATTGGGTACTACTAATTTGCTGAACTTTGAGCAGTTTGTCTGTATGTATGACATAACCTCACTTATAAAAGAGATAAAATTTCTTTAAAATGCCAAGTACACTTTTTTAATTGAACAGACATATGTATAGGAAAAATATGACACTTCACTACTTATAATACTGATATATACAATTCTATACTTCATGCCAAAAGCTTAATGATATGATTTCTGTGATAATTTATTTTCAATGTTTCACACAGGCTGGCAACAAAACAAAACCAATTCATGGCGTTATTTCCTGGCAACATAGTTTCAGCAAAATATTGCATATATGTTTTTCTGTGTTAATCATATTCTGCATGTTGATTGCATAAGCTGCTGCCAAGATTTAAAAAGCAATCAATTTGTAACCATGCATCTTTTGTCTTATTAAAACATATTGCGTGGAAAAAAAACTACCCAGTTTCACAAAGAGTCATTTATAAACAAGGTTTTTTAACTTGTGATGATAGGTTTTTTTTAACTTGTTACAAATGTTTATGATAATAGGTTTTTAATGAAAACCTCAAAATTTCAAGATTAATATTTTCTCAAACCTAAATTTACTGACAAACTTCTCAATGCCTGCATGTTAATGTGTACACTATACATGTATCAAACCTTAATGGACATTTTATTAGTGTATATATAAATGAGTGCATAATGGTCTAAGAGTGAAAACAACATCCACTAAATGAATTAATGTAACATATAAATCGATGATCACTGCTAAATTAGAAATATTTCTGTGGTAATTGATTACTAAGTATTTTCTAAAATACATCATTTATATTTCAGTTTTGCTTTTGTTTCAAGCTAGTTTGTACCTCTTTAAATAAAGAGCATTTTATATAAATCATAAACAAGTTACCTGTTGTAGGGTTTACTTTCACAGACACCAATAACATTACAAAGGTTCAATCCAGTTTACCAGATGTCATTATTTACATAAATGCTTAACAAAAACTGGTTCAGTTAATCTAAACAAAATCCTGATGTTGGAAACTGTTTGATGGTTTTTACTCTTTTCTAGAGTGTTAAGAAGTAAATCTGGCAGGTGCAAGCTAGCTGTTTAGAGCCAATCTACTTTTCAAGGCTGACTTTGGGCTTGAAAACCGCCTGACATCAGCAACTGACAGGATCAACATTTCAAAAAGGTAAAGACTCTATACAACATCGGTGATGAGTGATAATATTGTTATAAATAGATGATTGAACATGACTGGTTAGTAAATAGTTTAAAGGTACTTAAATATACATATATATATCTATCTATGCAGTGCTAAAGGGGGGACAATATATTACATAGACCACACAGCAAAGTATTGCTTATACAATAAGATAGAATGAATTATCCCCCTTTCTCAGAAAGATAGAGAGAAGGAAGATAACAATAAATGTAAAATATCACAACAAAATTATTATAAACTATCTAAACATAAGGTAAATAAATACAGATGGAATGGCATTTCTGGAATGGACTTCTGTGCTCATAATGGCACTTTCACTTACAAACATAACAAAAACCAGCTTTAAAATAATTGTATTTGCAGTAAATGATTAACTTCTATAAACTTTTCTACTTGGATTCAAATTTTGTGTCTAAAATGAGGAACAATAAGAATTTTACAGCTCTTCCACAAATCAGTATAAAAAGTTATAATAAAACTGAAAATATGTCATCATTTGTCACACATGTATGAACACTATCAGTAAGTTAAGTGTACATATGAATGGACTATATTAATATGTTAAGTAAACACATCTTTTGCCAGTATGATATAATATCATCGTATACATGCATATACAAGTACTTAAGCTGGTTTTAATCAAATGAACATAATGTATTCTATATAAATGATACATAATATGTAGGCATAAGTTTCCGATTTATTCCACAAGCAACAGCTTCATAAAGATCTTCTTGGAAGTAACAATGTAAACATGTATACAAAAAAACAAATTGCTTAGAAAGATTTTGGGATATTCTGTGTATATTTTAATATTATGCTTTTGATTATTAATGTAAATCAAGCTGCATCAAGATTTTTATATATTTCTCGTCTAATATGTAAATTGTAGATCTAATAATTATTCTCAGTACAAAATCATGAAAAAAATTTCTTTAACAAACTACAAACATAAACATAATAATGTAATCTAACAGAAATTGTAAGCAGAAAAAAAACACCAATGAACGCATGACACACATATGCAAAGCAACCATTTCAATTCTTTAACATAAAGAACAATACATCTCAATACATGATATAGAATGTTAACATTAGTCGTGATTATCTATAACTTACATGTAAAAGCTACAAGATTAACATGCTATTGCAAGCATAAACTTATACACTTGTATAAAGATAAAAAAAAAGGATCTGTATCTATCTAATGAAAACCACAACCGCTTATATCATTATGTAAATACCCTTTATATTTCAATGGTTTCATCATTACTTCTTTACAAACATTCCTATCATTTATTTTTAGCATGTTAGTCCTATTAACTGGACATATAACCTACAGTAATTTTAGATATTTTTCATTTTTATTCATTTATTAATTTTTTCATTCATTATTTTTATTCTATCAAAACGTCAAAGTTCTGATTTTCAGGCTTTTCTTCCATAATAAGTTGTATGAAACTCAATGCATCCATCTGTGTTTATCTTGTATACAATACCCTCTACATTGTTTAATTTTGGCATGGTTTAAAATCACAAAACTTTTTCATAACATTACAAACTATAAGGATTTACTCTGATCTATAAAATAAATTCATATGTGAAAAGAAAATGGAATGAAATTAGGTCAAACCCACAGAAATCTTATCCTAACAGTAACATAGAATATAATAAACATAAATAGCTTCTTAACAACCAGTTTTTAGGGCAAGGCTAACCCTCTAAGAACAAAAGAAAAACAACAAATAAAATAACAAAATAAAAAAAGAAAACATTTTACAAATAATAGCAAATAAAATGTGTGAGCACAAAGGAAAAAGCACAGATTATCTAGATGTTTTGAAACCTTCTTTACAAGCCACAATGAAAGTCATTAAGTAAGTCATAAGCAATGAAAAAAATACATATATAAAATAAAATCCGAGTTTATATGTACAGTAAGCGATTTCAGGCATATTTTTACTATTTGGAAACTTACAATATGACTATATGCAATCAATTATGAAATTATCAATCATTAATATTCATACATCAATGATTCAGGCTACATTGATTAAAATTTGACAAGGTTGAACAAACTTTAAAAAATGTTAAATTTTCAAAAATTTCAAAGTTACAAAAAAAAACAAAAAAAAACTTTTATTGCGTTGTAAACTTTACCATCACTATCATCTCAGATTCAAAGATAAAAATTAACTTTATATGCAGAAAATATACCTCAAAAGCATTATTTCTAGTAATTGTTAGGTATTCAACAATGCACTATATTAATTTAATAAATTAAACAAAATAAAAAAAAGATACTGCTACAACCATGTTTAAAATTATCATAAATATTAGGTTATTCTAAATACTGAATTATCTTTAAAAACTAGATATAGCTGAAGTTAGTCTAAAAGCTTTTGTCAATCTTTGTTAACATACACTTAAAAAACATACAAAAAAGTTTTCTCCTTAAATTAATTAAGTTCCTCCTTTAAACTAGTAATGAAATTTCAAACCATTACCACAACTTTCGGTTATGAGGCACTAAAATAATTACCTGCTTAAACAAAGAAGAAATATTATATTTTTTTCCCCATGATACAAAACATGGTCATAATGATAATCTTCCAGAAACTTGCTATTTATTTTTAATTTCTAAAACTCAAGTACTTGTACTTTAATACTAACTTTGATCTCCCGACTGACTATATTTGTGGATCAACTGACTATATTTGTGGGTCGAGAGATTTTCTCATGATGCCCTGTTCCAACACAGTATCTGACCCCCTGCTGACTCTGTCCAGACCATGATATGTTACCCTTATCATCAATATTCACCATCCTAACCATAACCCTGCACTGTTTCTTATTACAAACAAATATTGTTCATGCCTTTTCACAAAACAAAAAGGATTATCTCCCTAGTATTAAAACAACAAACTTAATCTCTTCAAAAAAGTAAAAATAATTTTACAATGAATGGAATATATAATTTTAGTATTATAGCTAACATCATAATCATGACTAGTAAGTAGGGGCCTGGTATTCGGGGATATCCCCACTCTTCTGGCCAGCAAATGGAGGTTGTTGGTAGGGATCGCTTGCGTCACTTCCAGGGAACGATGAATATGGTGAAGACTGGGTCTGCGGCTGGTTGTCAGGGTAACCAGAGGAAAGAGACTCTGATGTTCCCTCACGGTATCTTCTGAATGCAAAGAATGCTAATCCAGCCTAAAATGATCAAGATAGCATAGCTGTATATATACTAAATTAAAAGTAAGATAATTTACTTTATATTGCAAACTATTTTTCTCCTATCAACATTGACATTCTTGGCAGTTTGTTACGTTTCACACAATGACTTTACAGGATAAAAATAGATTTCTGACAAATGTTTTAACAATTTTTTTACAAAAGATTTTAGGACACTTAAATTATGGACATAAGTCAATTTTGCTTAATTGAAACAATTAAAATGCCAACGAGTAAGTCTTGTCTACAGATTATATATAAAAAACTTAATTATAAGGATTGTTTTACAACTAAAGTGCTTCAGCACATTTAGCCCAATAGGGAGAGCATTGGATATTTTGTTATCCCGGGGTGATCATATTGTGAGGCAAAATTTCCCTGCAAAAATTGGTCTAATGCACATTAGTCTCTCACAGCTGGTTCATGTCGGACAGGTAGTCAGACATTTGTTGAGAATTGGTGTTTACTGGTTAGTTATCAAGGAAAGCTGGTTAGGTTGACTGATCACCAACATACAACAAAAAAATGTTTCAAAATCGATCTTAAAGTTGCAAGCCTCCAGATGAGCATCAAGAAATTCAATCTTTAAAAACTAGAACTGTGTCCAAAGGACACGGATGCCCCCACTGACAACATTTATATGGTACTAGTATATATTGAAAAAATCAACAAGGGCCATAATTCTGTTAAATTTGGTCGCAGCAAAAATTCCTTCCTTTACTACCATCTACACATTAAGGTTGTTCATCCCTGGAAGTTTAAGCAAAATCTGCCATCCGGTTTAAGAGGAGTTGCGTTCACAAAATTTCTATATGGTATATAGTGAAAAAATCAACAAAGGGCCATAATTCTGTTAAATTTGGTTGCAGCAAAAATTCCTTCCTTTACTACCATCTACACATTAAGGTTGTTCATCCCTGGAAGTTTAAGCAAAATCTGCCATCCGGTTTAAGAGGAGTTGCGTTCACAAAATTTCTATATAGTATATAGTGAAAAAATCAACAAAGGGCCATAATTCTGTTAAATTTGGTCGCAGCAAAAATTCCTTCCTTTACTACCATCTACACATTAAGGTTGTTCATCCCTGAAAGTTTAAGCAAAATCTGCCATCCGGTTTAAGAGGAGTTGCGTTCACAAAATTTCTATATAGTATATAGTGAAAAAATCAACAAAGGGCCATAATTCTGTTAAATTTGGTCGCAGCAAAAATTCCTTCCTTTACTACCATCTACACATTAAGGTTGTTCATCCCTGAAAGTTTAAGCAAAATCTGCCATCCGGTTTAAGAGGAGTTGCGTTCACAAGATTTCGGGACGTACGGACAAACGTACATACGGACGGACGGACAAGTGCAACGCTATATGCTCCCACTCTGTGGGGGCAAAAAAGGACTTAAGATCTTAAGAAAAGTAAAGAGATTCAATATAAATGTAAATGTAAAGTACTTTCTTTGTTCACTTCACAATATTTAACCTTTTAAATACATTTTCAAAATTTTCATGAAAATTAGCATGCATCAGGAGGCATGCTGCGTTTAAAATAAATCAGACAAACAAACAAGCAAACAGGTAAGCCTATGATCCACAGACACTGGATTCAGAATCAGAACTTAGCCCATCATATTTTTCTTAATCTGTTGCAATATGACCTATGATGTCAATGGAAAAATGCTGGAAAAGAGCTTAGCTGAAATTCATAAATCCATCAGTAGAAACATAAAAGTATACAGAAAACATGGTTTCAGCATATATTACTTACCCATGTGAAGATGGAGAAGAAAGAGAATGCTATTGAAGCTTGAATGTTGTCCTTGCCATGACCATGTGGTGCAATATACCCTGGCTTCTCTTCCCTTCGTCTCCACTGATCTGTCAGGAAACAGAAACCCACAAACCACAGAAATGTCCACAAAGCTGAAATATAACAGTCCAAACATGATTCACTATCTCTATATTTCTATTGATCATTGCTCATATGAGCCGCGTCACGACAAAACCAACATAATGCGTTTGCGACCAGCATGGATCCAGACCAGCCTGCGCATCCCCGCAGTCTGATCAGGATCCATGCTGTTCGCTTACAAACCCTATAACAAGTAGAGAAACTGACGCAGCTCATATATATAAGGCTTTAAACATGAATAATCCTGCAGTGATGATTATTTTCATGCAGGGAATACTGATAAGCCATTGCGATGTCAAATATTATATTACTTTACTGGAATGATGTTGTCAGTAATGTTTCACTTTAGCTGAACATAATATAAATAAATGATAAGTTTTAGGTTCATCCTTTAGCAGTGTACAAGGTTGAAATCTAACACCTCATTTTTCAATATTTCATAATTATAAAACATTTTTTAAACAAAGTAAATTGCCATAGAGGTTGAGTTAAGTTAAATAAACATATTGCCTGCTGATGTTGTACATTTGGAACAGTCCATTAGTGTATTAAGGGTGTTCAGTACCAAAATTGGGAAAATAACAGTATAGAACCTGGATGTCTGCATGTATGTATCTTCTGGGCTTATTGCAACAATAAGCCTAAATAGGTTAAAACCATAAATTTCAATCAGTCGCACCATTGCATGCTCATGAAATGTACATTATTTTCAATGATTAAGATCAGACTTTGCCTAAAAATAATGTCTTCCATAAAAAAAATAGCTGCACTTCATTTACAGATTGTTTGAAATATGAACAAACTTTGATAATATCTTTTGCTTACAAAAAATTGTCAATCAATATTCTTGCTCTATGCTTGACAAGTACAATTTGTAACAGACTTGTATCACAATTTTAGATCTATCTTGTTTAAATCCATTGCTACTTAATTAATCTTGTATCTAATCAATAATTACTGCTAACATCAAGTAAAGAGAAAAGGATGCACTTACACCTGAAAAACTTCCTTTTTATCACCATTATTAAACTAAATCATGCCCTCTTAAAAACAAAAAACTTCCTGTAACTTTTTTACAAAGGATAATTACACTAATGGTAAAATATGCACTCAGGTTCAACAAAGCCATTTTCAAGCTTGATTTTTTTTTAAGTCAGTAAGGAAGGATAATTAAATTACTGGAAAATTATACTTTCACATTCTAATACTGAGTTGGTCCGAAAGAAACAGAAGATAAAACAATGTATACCTTTAAAGTAATTCTAAAATAACAAGATATAATAGACAGGTTATTATTTCCCAGACATACTCATTTGTTAAATGTGCAGTATTTATAAAAGTATAATGAATTATTGATAAACCATGCTGTGCACGAGCATTTATTGTCTAGAAGGGAAAGAAAAGTGTAAGATAAAACCACTTTATTAACATTTCAATTAATAAATAATTTATGAGTGATAGAAAAATAACAATGAGTATTTGAAAACGTCTCAGGTTCTATATTGTACAGTGAATAAGCAGGCTTGTTTTGGGTTCTACATGGGACACGCAGGCTCATCTCAGGATGTACATGTACATTGGATGAGCAGGCTTGTCTCAGGTTTTACTCCAGAAAAGCAGACTCATCTCAGATTTTACAATGGATGAGCAGGGTCGTCTCAGGTTCTACACTGGATGAGCAGGCTTGTCTCAAGTTTTACATCAGAAAAGCAGGCTCGTCTCAGGTTTAAACACCAGATTAGCAGGTTCATGTCAGGTTTTACATTGGATGAGCAAGCACATCTCAGGTTTTACGTCAGATAAACAGGCTCGTGTCAGGTTTTACACCAAATAAACAGGCTAGCCTCAGGTTCTACACCGGATAGGCAGGCTCACGTCAGGTTCTACACCAGAAAAGCAGGCTCATGTCTCAGGTTTTACAATTGATGAGCAGGCTCGTCTCAGGTTTTACTCCAGATATAATCTGATAAGCAGGCTCACATCAGGTTTTACACCACAGATGAGAATGCTTGTCTCAGTTTCTACACTGGATAAGCAGACTGGTCTCAAGTTTTACTCCTGATGAGCAGGATTGTCTTAGGTTTAATGCTGGATGAGCAGGCTCATCTCCGGTTTTACACCGGATGAGCAGACTTGTCTCATGTTTACACTGGACGAACAGGCTCGTCTTAGGTTTAACGCTGGATAAGCAGGCTCATCTCAGGTTTTACAACAGACAAGCAGGCTTGTCTTAGGTTTTATGCTGTATGAGCAGGCTCGTCTCAGGTTTTACAACCAAACTAAATCATCAGCATTCCATGATTCAAGGTATAAATGATTTTCTATATTAAGTACTCTCCAACAGATCACTGTGATATCAACACTTTAAGTGATCAAAGGATAAAATCAATACACAAAAGAAAGGCACCACAAGCATGATAGGACAATTATTCTGTAAACTGATCCACACTGATAATAAAATCTGCTGAGTCAGGCAAACTGTGATATTTTCAACTTCAATTTTAGTAGATGTATAATTGTGCTATTATGATATTCCCCAATGAAAGATCACATATTAAAACTGAGGTTAAATATAAAGATGCCATATCTCAGACTCTTCAAAAAAAGTTAATATCTTAATCAGTTTGTGATGAAGAAAAAAAAAATCCATTTTTTGATACTGAAATGAACCACTAGATCTCCCTGTGATGTTAGTTTTTTATGTTTTTAAGTGGTTACTGTTTTGTTTTTTGTTGTTTTTTTTCGTTTGGGATATGGGGGAGGGCAGGGGTGAAATAGGTTCAACCATTGTCACATTGAAACTGTATATGGTGACTTTACAGCTTAACTGGTCAAGGAAGATGTCAGGTGCCCCTCTGTGCATTATTTCAGCAACAGCAGTCACCTGGGTTGACCACAAGATTTTTGGACAAGGTCCTCACTGGAAAGAATACAAATTCCCTGACAGGATTCAAACCCATACTTGTGAATGGAGCGTGGTTAAAGTGAACTGTTTTAACCACTTGGCCATGAATGCCTCATCAAAAGATAAAATTTCCCTATAGGTTAACTAGTTTATACATTTACATGAAACTACATCATAAATATGTTCCTTGCTTCCAGATTTACCAGCTTATATAAGTTTCTGCACTTTTTTTCCTGCTTTTATTTCATACAATAATTGCAACATGATATTTTATACAAACATGGGTACACATCACATCATCATGTTGATATTGAAAATCTTCTACTGCACCATGTGCACCATTCTTTACTGATATCACATGACATTAGCAAGGTGTTCTCTGACAGAAATCCTTTGATTTTTTATTGATCAGGTACTGTTAACTTTTTTTCAGAAACAAAGCTGAATGTTCATGTTTAAGTCCATGATAGATGTATCCATTGATTACAGTCAAACGTGTATTAAGCGACCGCGCAAGGGAAACACCCAAAACGGTCTCTTAAGACAGTCAGCATGATATAAAAGTCAAAATCTATAAATGACATCTTTCTTATGCGGTGGGAATGTTTTTCAAATTCGTTTTTATATACATGTTGAATAATAAGCACGCTCCAATAATCTAAATGGATGCAAATGTAAAACATTACTTTCTGATATTTATTGACAAAACAGTTTTGATCCATTACGTACATGTTTGACATTTTTCCAGAATTTTTTAACTTCTCCGTTGTTTTTTTCTTTGATTCAAACACGAAAAACCCTATAAGTGAAGATGTTTTCTGTTGTGAATTTTTTTCATTTGAAATATACAAACTACATCTAATTGTTTCGATTAATTTAATCGCTGATCAAGTTCAATGTCAATTCAATGCAGTCTAAATGTCAACAAGCGAAGCGTATACACCATCTCAGTAGGGGCGGAGCGTTGCATTGTTTATCCGATATTATTGGATAATACATGTCACGCCTATACTTAACTTCATTTGCATACGCTAAAACGGTTTGGGAAATAGACTTTTTCACACATTTATTTGTTGTGTTTTGATTGTTGACACTTGTGACATTACGAAGTGGCGTCATCTAAAAACACAATTACTTGACAGGTAAAAGTGGTCGTTTAATGAAAAGATTTATCTCAATTAGGTGACTAATTAGCGGTCGCTGGTCGCGTTGAGCAAAAGTCGCTTAATACATTAAAGATATAGAGAGAAAATGATCGGGGGAATTTAAAGTGGTCGTTTTAGACAAAGGTCGCTTAATACACGTGGTCGCATGGGCAAGTTAGACTGTATATGAAAAGTATACATTCTTCTCTTGAGTGACTTACAGGAACACAAGGAACACGGACAAGGAACACAATAGGGCAGACAAACAGACAGACAGACAGATAACCTTGAAGGACATATGACAACAACTTATAATAACTGACCCTTAACAACAACAAAATGTTATGGTCTACAGATACAAAGTAGTCTTGTGTAAAATATCGTATAAAATAACTACAGGGATTGGCTGACATTATAAGATGATTATTTTACATTGTATGGGGCTTAACAGGTTAATAAGAGGCAAATATCTATAATCATGATCACTGTATTTGTTTGGTTTTGTCTATTAAACGAGAGTCAAGCAAAGCTTTGGCACTGGGAAAATAAGAGTTCTGTAAAGTGTCAATTGGAAATCAATGAAGACTATAGTTATGTATACGGCAGGATTTAAGATTTACTCTCCCACTCTCTGTCTCTAATAATTTTATTGATCCACCTTGCGAAACATGATTTTCATACAACTATTTTTTGGGGTACTATCTTAAAGAATGAGGTTTAGAAACATGATTTTCATACACTATTTTTTGGGATCTATCTTAAAGAATGAGGCTTAGGAAAAACTGTGTCAAACCATTAATGAACATGACATTGTGTAAAATAATCTGTATTTAGGAAATTAATCAAACTTATTCAACTTGGCTAAAGGTTTCTCAAATGTGCCAAATTTTGACAGCAAAGGCCCATAACCATAATTATTTACAAGTTTTGTCCCAGCAGATATATAACTTAATTATCAAAGAAGAATTAAATTATTTTAGTACTGTAACTTAGACTAAGTGCTTTAAGTTTAATTTAAAAATACAATGGCAGAAAGTAATGAAAATAAACAAGCCTACACTTTTCATTTACAGACCAGTTACCTACAGGTGCTGACTATTTATCTATGCTATTAATTAATTTGTTAAATAATCTCATTCTGTTTTCAATTCTTACATGTCCCTTGTTAAAATAGGGCATATTTTGGATCATATGTGTGGGCTGCACTAGTGTTCAACTGGTGAAACTGGAAGGCATTAAAGACACTAACACTACATGATCAGTAACCCTTCTGACAGCGACTGAATCTAACCCATGAAAACAGTGCAGACCAAGACTGCACACCTGTGCAATCTGATCATGGTCTGCACTGTTCCCTATTCAATCAGTCAGTACTAATCTTGAAGTATTCCCTAGTAATGATAAAAAGTTTGGTTTAGATTGACAGATGGACAAGTCCATTTAAGCATTAGGGTTAAGTAAAAGTTTAGCAAGTTAAAAGCAATCTCATTATATAAATGGTATATATATACCAGAAGGTATTGATCATTTTTTTTACAGTCACAGAACGGTTTTTGGACAGTAGCAGAACATGAATGATTGTAGTAAAGGAAAGCTGTAGTAGTCTCGTGTACACAATCAAGCAAGCAGCTTATATTGGAATATTGGATCTATTCATTACTTCTCTTTAGAGAGTTCACATAATCTGAAAACTTTCCCTTTTACTGACTATCTCTGCATTATAAATGCATAAATAGTGCTTTCTGCTTTTGTGCTTATAGAGGTACTACATTGATACAATTTACTTTAAATTGTTTACAGTAAAAAATGTCCTGTTATTCAAGAATCAATGTGGTTTTAGTTTTTTGTGTTTTCATTTCATATTCACTTTAAGTGTTTTAGATTAGTAAATTTAAGTGTTTCAGTTTCCAAAGATAATATACATGTATGTATAATGTGCTTTTTTATAATTCAATGAAAATCTTGTCACTCCCTTAACGAAAAGTCAAAATAGTTCAATTTTACCTAGGCTACTTAAAAGAAATATATTGATTTTTGGAAGCTGTTTTTTTCTTCTTCTTTTTCTTTCTTAAATATGGGTAAGTATCTTTTTTGTTTGTACAACAGTTAGAAGTTGTCAAACACTATTTAAGTCATATGATGGCTTACATGCTATACTGGGGAAGTAAGATTCCCAGTATTATTTAACATACAATAAGTAGAACCACCAATGACCTTCAGTTAGCTAAGGAACGGCTGAACTATTGTATGTTTGCTGAACTTTTCCTGAACATTTGAAAAGTTCTACATTGAAAGCAAGAACATACCATTATGTGGCAGCATGGCTGAGTGGTTATTGCCTAGGACAAATAATCTAAAGATCTCTAGCAGTGTGGGTTCAAACCTCAACAGGGGCAAGCTGTTGTTTCTCTGAGCAAAACACTTACCCTAATTGCTCAGTCAAGAGTGTGCCGATATTAGCTCATAGCTTCCTACTCAACTGAACTAAAATGAATGATGTAAACTTTAAACTATGTGGGTAGTTACCTTAAATACTTGGCTAAAGTAGCCAACTTTTTATCAAAAACCACACACCCACACACACAATTATGTGATAAATAATAAAGACAAACTTACCAGATACAATGAGATCTGCAAGGACAGCATATTTTCTGTGTTGAACACTGCTCATGTTGTCGAAGAGAACATCAATGATAAGGAATGCTATACAGAACAGGAAAGCCATCACCCCAATACCTATACCATAGCCACATGCTCCACTGTCCCGCATCTGACAGTGGTCTCGGTAGTATCCGCCAGCAGATATACATCCAAACACTATTATAGAAAACACCTGAAATATCAAAAATTAGTATGTAGTCATTGAAAATGACCATTTTTAGATGCATTTTGGTATCATATCCCTAACACAGTGGTTTTTCTCAATTGATATTTTTGGAAAAATTATCCCTAAAATTGCTAATTCGGGAAGTAAAACAGCTGGAATAAGTTTAGATATTTGGGAAAACTGCATCAATTTTATAGAATTAGAATTTCAATTAAGAAAAGGTCTTTTATTGGCCTCTGTTATATAAGGAGGAAATCACTGTAACAAAAATCACTGTATCATAGTACAAAAAAGATTCTTTTCCTAAAAACAAAGTTCAAACTTTTTCTCGCAACTTTCAGATATAATTAAACCCTTTTATGAGATTAATTTACACATGAATAATTTTCTATTTGAATAGTTCCAACTAGGTTAGTATCTTAAATTGTTCCATTGGTTAGATAGTTTTAGTTAAATTTCGCTTTTATGGTTCCACAGGAATTGTCAAGGTAATTTATTGGTCCAGTTTATATTTCAATATATCAAAATGACACTTTTATTTACAATGACTGTAGATTCATCTTATTTAAATGTTTAGTTTTATAAAGACTCTATCTTCATATCTATCTACATGTACATAAAGGTGTTAGCATCAAGATTAAAACCCCTCTTACATAAACACACAAAAGGGCACAATTATGCTCCTTTCATCTGATCTATCAATGGTTGGGTGTAAAATTATCAAAAGATCCGTGACTGGAGACTTTTCTATGTTTAAAAGTCTACTTCCTGTTTTCACAATAAAATTTCGAGTTATAATATATAGGCTCACGGCCAAGAAAGGTACCAGCATATTGATCGGAAGTAAAATGTGCTCGTATTCAAAACTGGGAACAGGCTAGGAAAGACATGGTACAGTGATTTCATTTACATACTGTTATAAGTTTTCTGTAACATTTAACAAAATATGAAACTTTAGCTCCGTTGAGATTAGGAAGTAAAACACTCAAACTGATGAAACTTTTCAAAAGATATTGATCCATAGCTATTACAAATATCAAATTTAACGTCCTAAATTTTTATATTACCAATTTGATGTGATCCCAAACAATTTAGTATACATTTCAAAAGTTAAATTTTATGAGGAAACACTCACCTGGCTGATAATGAAAATTATACAAAAATAACCTGATAATTAAAGGGTACACAACTCCTGTCACAAAAAAATTAAATAACCAAAATCAAACTTGATATTGCGATCTAATATGATATGAATATATCTGTATATGATATAAATGTAACTGTATTTAGCCAGTGCCATCTGTAGTGCCCCTGCCCAATATGAGCATTCATGCAGTAAGACCAAGCTCTATACTTTTGGTAGCTCAATTTTTATCTTCATGAAATCTTTATCAACAGGACCTTGATGGCCTTTTTATTGCTCTTTTGAGTGATGATTGCAACTAGTCCTTTATCTCATTGTGGACTGAGAGCAGGCTCAAAACTTTTAAGAACGAAAATTTATATTTTAGGTCACTGTTTTATTTAATTATTTTTTGTTTCTCAGATTTTTTTCAGAAAAAGTTAGGGTAGGAAAGAATAAAAAAAAAATCTAAGCTATTTATTCTACATGTTTTTAGTGGAAAAGATCACAAGCTTTCTGAACTAAAGGCCCCTGGGACCTTGACTTTTGATCCAGTGAACTCTAAATCAACATAGGTCACCAAATGGTCATGACCAACCTCCATCTAATAATCAAGACTTACCTCCATGCCAAATATGAAGACTGTGGGTCAAAGAATTCAGATATTGGGCAGCCAAGATTTTTTTTAGTCAAGGCCTCTGTGACCTTGACTTTTGACACAGTGACCTCAAATTCTATAGGGGTCATCTACTACTCATGACTAATTTCCATGCCAAATATGAAGACTGTGGGTCAACGGAATCTTAAGTTATTGGGTGGACAAGCTTTTTACAGTCAAGGCCTCTGTGACCTTTGACCTGGTGAACTTAAAATCAATAGGGGTCATCTACTAATCATGACTAACCTCCATGCCAAATATGAAGACCGTGGGTCAAAGGATTCTTAAGTTATTGGGCAGACAAGGAAAAACCGACGGATGCCCAGTGGCTGGACGGAAAAGCTGATTCCAGTATACCCCCCTTACAACTTTGTTGTGCGGGGGTATAATTACTTTCTTTGCAATAGGTACAACATATTTTCCATTAGTTTAACCCATATTTTAGAGTGTGTGTGCAGAATTGATATTTAAATCATAAAATATTGTAACTAAAGTTTGTAAGATTCTCTGACAATGAAAATTACCAACTCCGAGTGTCTACAGTTCAAACAATTGTTAAAATGATCCAGTTTAAATGAACTTGCCTACCATTAATGTCAATCTGTGTGACTGCTGCATGTACTCAAAGAACATCAAAGTTGCTGCCTGCTTTCATTAATGATTACATTACATTGCACACATAACTTGATCATATTCAAATGTGAATAAATGAGTATTCAAATATAAATGTATAAAGAGTATAAATGAATAAAAAGTATAATGTCTGAAAATTTCTGACAAAATATAGAAACTAGAATTTAAAGATGTGTAGTAGTGTACCAACTAAACAAATGCATTAGAAGCCTATATGAAGATAATGAAATATTATGTATCAACAAGACTTTAACTCATGTTCTTACTTTGCTGGGAAGATGAAGAAACTTGTATTTTAAAATGTACTCCTAAAATGAATCATACTTCGCTTACAATTCCGACATAATCAGGCCTGCTAAGAGCAAAGCAAAGCTGAAATCGATAACTTAAATTTCAAAGTTCTGCAATCAAAAAGATAAAACTTCAATTCACAGATCACCAAAATTTAATATTGTCTCTAATTTTTTATTTCATTCATAACAATCTGAAAATTAGACTTCCTTATAAATGTCACTGTTCAGAACTGTTCCCTGATTTAGGGGAGACAGTGTGTATGTGGCTGGATAAGTTCAGTTGCTAGAGCTGCAGTATGGAAATCTGAGGGTCCTGGGTTCAAGTCCTGGTCAGGTTGCACATTTTTCTCACCCTGTGACACCCAACATGGGACCATAATGGTACATGTATATGCTCCGAGTCCAATTTCACTTTGTTCTCTGTACCCATTAGAAATTCCAGGACGCATTTCAATATTAGTGGGGGAGTATGTCCCGGTTCAGAACTGTTCACTTTTTAGCGTGTTATAGCAGCCAGCTAGCTTAGTCGGGAGAGCTGAGGTACTGTATTTCGAGGGTCCTGGGTTCGAGTCCCAGTCAGGTTGCAAATTTTCTCAACATGTACACGTCCACATGCAAAACTGCTCTGATGACATTTTGGCATATTTAAGTATCCTACAAGCAAAATAGCAGTGAGAGTTATCAGTCGGAAAGATTAGTAAATAACCCAGTGTTCATTCTTGTTATTTCCGAGGACAGCCTTTCTATAAATATATATATATACTCATGGTTAAGACTCTGGGTCTACTCCAGGATAGGCCTACATCTTAGTCATCTAGATCTAGGTACAAACTAGACACTAACTAGGATAAAAATGCCATTTTAAATGGTTTAGAATGATTATTGTGGCTTTGGTGTTGCTTTACTACTGCAATTAACGAATTTCTAAACGCATGTATAATAATTAATTTAAAATCATTTTGCATAATTTTATAAACACAAAATGAAAGTTGAAACACATGATCATGAGTAATTTCTAATAATGACAACCATAAATAATTGGTCATTGATTAGCTTTTATGCCTTTCAAAGTCATAGATATTTCAAATGAAAACTTAAACCTACCCAGCTAACTATCCTGAGAATAACCTGGGGTCTCTTAATGAAGGCGACAGGGTCAAACGACCCTCCAGCCATGCCAGCTCCATAAGCTTGAGGTTGTGATGGTAGTGACATTTTTCCGTCTTGTGAAGTTTGGAATGACGTCATATATTTATGCGTATAATAAATAAATATTTTAAAGTAAACGGTTTGTCTTTTATATTTCGGTTATCGCTTGATATTTTTCACAAAGATTTTCACAATAATTTTTACTTTTTCTTGAAAAGAAACATTTTCTTTAAAATTATAAAAATAGATCTATAATCACTAAAACTGATGACGTTTATCACACACCAAGTTGCACAATCAGGCGGAAAGAAGAAACAAACCTATTTTTGGATTGAAAAGATTATAAAACACCCATTGTTGACGTGTCAAGCTCAGATATTAATATATTTAGAAACAAGACGTATTTCTGTATTTTTTAGTTATCACATTAAAGAAAAAGATTATAATTATTATGGAGTCTACAGACAACCTCTGCCTTGTTTGCCACGAGCACATTGACTTTTTTGCAATTGGCAAATGTGATCATCCGATTTGTTTCAGATGTTCCACTAGAATGAGGGCTTTGTGTGAGCAGTTTTATTGTCCAATATGTAGGACAGATTTACCAGAGGTACCTATTAAATAATATTTCATTACAGAATCAAACACAATGTCATCTTGTTTCAGTTCGGGAATATTAATTAGGAAGTGGCTAGCCGTACGGCTAGCCAAAAGTTCTAGCCGTACGTGAGTCACGTACGACTAGCCAGGACTCGCTGCATTGTCTAGCCGTACGGCACTTTTCAAATTTATATAGAAGTCGAAAATACATATGTTATTTCATGACTTTAAGCGAGGATTTTAACCAAGAAATAGTAATTGTCTTCGTATATTTACTTTAAATAGAGATTAATCGCCTTGTTGGCTACAGTAAAAAAAGTACGAATATCGATCTTTATCATCTCAAGACATCGAGAAAAAATAGCGTTAGGTCGCAGTTAAATAACATCAATTGAAATAGTTTACAAAATTTTGATAATAATCCTTTTTTGTTTCATAAAGTTTAATTTTCGACACCTTTAAAATGAAAAAAAAAGAAAATAATTATTGTTAGGCTCTGATATTTGCGTCAATTACCGACGGTATAGAAGTTTGTCCATCATTAAGGAAAGTTTGCATGTTCCGTGAAACGCATTTTAAAATTCTATTGTCAGTCCCTGGGTAGGCTTTATTTAAGGCTTATTAATTGATTGTGCTTTTATGTTCGATATTTATCTACTGTATTTGAAAATTATACAATTATTTTTGCTTTTCATCGTTTTTTTTTTTCAATGTTCTTTTTATTTATTTATTTATTTATTTATTCCACTCCGATCATTATTTATTCGATCCATGTGCTTAATTAACCAAAAATCATCTTTCAGTCAAATAAAACAACAAATCATAATCATGAGGCACAAAATAACACATGCATGATCGACTTCTATATAATTTTGAAAAGTGCCGTACGGCTAGACAATGCAGCGAGTCCTGGCTAGTCATACGTGACTCACGTACGGCTAGAACTTTTGTCAATCCTTATCTGCAACAAGTCAGTCCCCATCATCAAAATGTCAATCCCCAATCACAACAGGTAAATCCACAAAAGACCAATTCTTATCCTCAGCAGATCAATTCTTATCATCAACAGGACAATCATCTTTCTCATGGAGTAGATCCTTATCCCTACAATGTCAATTCCCACCATCAACAGCTCAATCACCATCATCAACAGGTCAATCCATTTCATTACATGGAAGTACACCAACTAACTCAGTTTCAACAGAGCAAATCTTATCCTCAGATGATGCAGCAACAATCGATAACAACAAATCCGTCATATTAAATAGTGAAGATTGTAACAGTGATATCCTAAAAAAATTAAGTGAATTACGACAAAAAGATCTCAAACGTCCTTTGATAGCACATTTAAATATCAACAGTCTTAAATCAAAATACTTAGAAGTGCATGAAATTTTGAAGAGAAAATTAGTGGATATATTTATCTTATCTGAAACTAAGCTGGATGATAGCTTTAATAGCAACATTTTCCATTATAATGGATACAAAATTGATCGCCGGGATCGCAATAAATTTGGAGGGGGAATTCTTGTTTATTCACGTGATGATTTGCCATTCCGGAGAAAGAAAGACCTGGAGCCAGAAAATTTTGAATGCATGTGTTTTGAACTATCTTTAAATAAAAGAAAGTGGTGTATCCTGGCTCTTTACAAACCTCCTAATATCAAAAATGTGGATTTTACTAACACCTGCACTAATGTTCTTGATAGAACTTTAAGACAATATGAAAACATCCTGCTTCTTGGTGATCTGAACTTTGACATGAACAGGCTTGAAAAATCATCCACCCTTCGCGATATTTGTGATACATATAACCTTGAAAATGTTGTAAAAGGAAACACATGCTTTATGAAAAATGCAAGTCCCTCAGCAATTGATGTTATTTTAACTAACAGATCAAATTTTATTTGTAACACAGAAAATTTAGATGTTGGTATCAGTGACTGTCACAATCTAGTAGCTACTACAATAAAAGAGCAGTGTTGTCAAACAAAACCGAAATATGTTAAATTTAGATCATACAAACATTTTAATGAGTCTGTTTTCAACACTGAACTTAGCAAAATTCCATTCCATATTGCAGATATTTTTGATGATATTGATGATTCATACTGGGCTTTTGAAACACTTTTCAAAGAAGTTGTAGATGAACATGCTCCAATAAAAGAACGCAAATTAAGATCACAAAAAGTTCCTTTCATGAATGGCGAATTGAGAAAATCAATCTATAAAAAACAGCAACTAAGAAATTGCTATTTCAAAAACCGTAATAACAAAAACTGGGAAAAGTTCCGCAAACAAAGAAATTTGGTCACAAAACTAAAAAGAGAGTCAATGGAAAAATATTTCTTTGAAAGGTGTAATGAAGGTCCAAAATCTAGCCACTTCTGGCCAACAATTAAACCGTTTTTGACATCAAAATCTACAGCAAAATCTGACAGCAAAATTATTCTTAATGAAAATGAGACCCTAATATCAGACCAAAAGGAAATAAGTAATATTCTGAATGATTTTTATGTGAATATTGCTTGTGATATTGGTATAAAAACTGATGCTGATATTGATGAAACACATCCTAGCATAACACAAATATCTAAAAATCATCCATCAATAGATACTTTTCAATTTGCTCCAGTGAGCACTGATCAAACTTTTAAATTATTGAAAAGTTTAAATTCAAAAAAGGCCATTGGTGTGGACAGCCTACCACCAAAGATAATTAAAGCAGGTGCGTATGCCCTGACAAATCCTATAACTTCGCTTATTAATAAAAGCTTTCAAACCTCTCAATTTCCACAAGCTTTAAAACTAGCACAAGTTAAACCTCTGTTCAAAAAGGATGATCCTTTCCAAAAGAAAAATTACAGGCCTGTCAGCATCTTACCTACCATTTCAAAAGTTTTTTGAAAAATCTATTAGTGCTCAACTTAACTTACATTTTGAAAACATTTTTCATGACTTTCTATCAGCATTCCGTAGAAATTTTGGCTGTCAGACAACATTACTGCGCCTCATTGAAGATTGGAAGAGAGCATTAGATAGAAATGAATATGTAAGCTGCCATACTCATGGATCTGTCTAAGGCTTTTGACTGTCTTCCGCATGACCTGATTATTCTTTAAACTTAAGGCCTATGGTCTGTCTGATGCCTCTGCTAATCTCATGCAAAGTTATTTGTTTAAAAGACAGCAACAAGTAAAACTAGGTACAATCTGTAGTGAGTGGAATGAAATAAACAAAGGGGTTCCACAAGGGTCAATTCTTGGTCCCCTCTTATTTAACATTTTCTTAAATGATATATTTTATTTCATTAAAAAGGGTTCTGTTTATAATTATGCAGACGACAATACCCTCTCATTTAATCATATTAATGTGGAAACTCTCAAAAGCACAATACAAGATGAAAGTGTTGTCATGATTAAATGGTTTGAAGACAATCTTATGCAAGCAAACCCTGAGAAGTTTCAGGCTATATGTATAGGCAAACAAACCTGTAAAAATGTGTCTAAATTCCAGATTCTTGATGCCACTATTCCTTGTGAATCTCATGTAAAACTTCTAGGTATTGAAATAGATTCCCTATTAAATTTTGATATTCATATCTCAAATGTTTGTAAAAAGTCAGCAAGACAAATAAATGTATTAACCAGACTATGTCCTCTACTTAATCTGGATGCAAAAATTCTTATATACAAAAGTTTTATCAGATCCAACTTTAATTTCTGCCCTTTAGTCTGGCATTTTTGTAGTAAGGACAATACAAACAAGTTGGAAAAACTTCAATATAGAGCTCTGAAAATTGTTTTTAATGACTATTCATCAAGTTATGAAGATCTGCTTAAACTGACTAATATGTCTTCACTCCATATCAGTAGAATTCAGGGCACTCGTTTGGCCATTTTTGGGGCCGAATATCGGCCCCATTCCCCTCTCAAAATCATATGTTTTTTTCCCCTATTTCAGTAAAAAATTCCCCTAAAAAAAAAATCGTAGTGCTAATGTTTGATATTTAAGAAAAAGGTGATGTTTTGATTTCATGAAAATAAAATATATTTCTGTTCAACTTTCAATGGATTGAAAACTAAAATACAGTTGTCAACAACGCTGTATGTTAAAACCGAAAGTAGCAGGAAGTGAGAAATGTACAGAAGGGAGATAACTCCCGTAAAATTATTGACAAAATTAATGTGGCAGATTATCATTGTAGGAGTTTACCTTATATTTAATTTGTTTAGAGAATAGACATACATCATCATACTTCTGCTAGAAAATAAACAAAACTGTTTTAATTTCTGTCAGTTGTTGTTGGAAAAAACGTATTTCTCTTGCAGTTTTGTACTCAAATATTTTCGAACCAAATATTTTCGTACTCAGTTTTACAGTTACATACAATTTCCTCTGAAACCAATACTTTTCTTAGAAAAGGCATAAAACTTTCTTGTTTATTTTTATTTAATTCTTATTTCAATTTTCATTGTTATAATTGTTTCAATCTAAAGAACAGGCAGAATTATGTAGAAAATAGATTAAGAACTGACCAGTGCAGATTGCAAAATAGTGTGATACATTTTTAACATTAAAAATAAAGAAAACATTAATGACTATAATAGGAAATAATTTTGCTGTGTTTCCATAACTTGGGTACAACATACCCTTGCCTAGGAAAGTCTGCCTTTCCAGAGCTTGTTGCACTGAATCAATATTTTTTGTACAAGTTTTTTTTTGTAAACAACAACAACAAAAGCAACTGTCAGTTTTAATTTTTATCATAAAAAAATGCATTATGCTTGTTATAGATTTTAATTTAACCCTTATGTTTTTCAGAATTTGCATTTTACCCCTCACTCTAGAATTTGAGGGGTATAAAACCCTTGGCCAAAAACATATATCTGGAGCTGTGATTGATGTCTGAGTCAGTCAAGTGCAATAAGAAAACAGTGAGATAGCCTACTTCAAGAACAACTTCATGTTATATGTTTTATTTGTAAGGTCTATAGTAATAAATATACTAGCTATAAGCCTATTGTAAGTAATGGTAGGAAATAGTGCCAAGAGTTAGTGTAAAACCTAAATTTAAAGAACTCATACTAGTATATGACTTGAAATTCCCCCTTTTGTCTTAAAATGACGCAAAATTCCCCTTCCTGAGGGTATGGGTACCTGTCCCCAAATGTTGTCTAGTGCCCTGGAATTAAACAACTCGCTATTGAAGTTTTTAAATGTCTTAACAGCATTTCTCCTAAGTATGTTCAAGAACTTGTTAATGTGCGTTCATCAAATTATAATTTTAGATACCAAAAAACTTTAGATGTACCTAAAGTACGCACAACCAATTATGGTAAAAAGAGTTTTCGCTTTGAAGCATCTAAAATCTGGAATAGTTTATCTAATGATCTAAGATGTACATCTGACTTAAATGAGTTTAAACGACTAATTGAAACATGGAGTAATGACAAGTGTGCCTGCTCTATGTGCATCTAATCGTTTATGTTCTATTTTACTTGATTCCTGTTTTTTTGCTTGTAAATAAATTTAGTCTTTTCCTTGAATTATGTACTATGTATCTGTATATATGTAAAACCCTGTTAATAGATATGACTGTATTTTTCATTGTAACCGCTCAGATTTCATTACAATGACTATATAAATTAATTGTATGTATTATTATCTTATGGTGTCTGTTTGTTTTTGTTTCTTTGTTTCTTATTATTATTTTCTATATTTTGTTCATGTCGGATACAAGCTTAAAGCTTATGTTTTGTACTGTTAATCATAACCGACTATAAATAAAGTTTGTCTTACTGTCTTACTGTCTTACGGGCCCGTACGGCTAGCCACTTCCTATTAATTATTATTAGTGGCACAATATTGTTACTTATCAGTAAGCAATTAAGCAGGGGCAGAGATTATTTGGTTATGATCAGAACTGTTTAAGCAGCCACTGCCTTAAAAGATAAAAAGGTGAAGAAGTGTAAAATTACATTGTTGTACACTATATACGGGGGTCAGACTGTCTTAAAATAATGTTTGAATACAAATTTATATCAACTTCCTTTTAGCAGATCTATTATTTTTTTTAAAAATCTGTAGTCTGTGCTTTTTAGAGACAATTTTGTGCTCAAATTTGGCCCTCTTCCCCTCCTTAAAAAGTATTTATTGTTGCCTAACATGTATAGATCTATACCTTAAAAAATACACCTGCAACAGTTTTTTTCTCTCCGAGATTCACTTTAGTTTATCATAAGAGTGGAAACAAACATGTAGTGGAATATTGTAGTTTGATAACTTTATTGTGTTGTTCCACAGTTACATGTACATGTCAGTATACAATAATAAATGTATATAACAAATTACAGACAGATTTTCTATATCTTAATTTCCTCCCCTCCTCAATTTAATATACAGTATTATAAAAAAAAATTATACTTTATAATAATTTATATATATCAAGAATTCATATTTTGAATATCTTAGTGAAATGCATGTTTTTGTCATATTTAATGTGTAAACATGTCATAAATTTGCTTTTAATTCACTTGATCATTTTTTGAAAAATATTACATTGGTACAATTTTGCATTTTCAGAAAATTTTACTTTCACTTTTGTTTTTAAAAAAGAAAATGTAGCTGACATAGTAGTTTCCTTTTCCTATTTTTTTTTTGGAAAATATGGGCTTTAGTTAAAATTCACATCACTTTAAATACATGTATTTCAGAGAGAGACCCGAATTAATTAATGATACTAGCCCGAATTAATTAATGATACTTAATGTCTGTTACTGCTGCAGAAAAGTTAAAGTTTATGTTACATGGTTAAAACTTACTTATCAAAATTACATTTAAGGAAGACAAGATAGATACCACCTATATCCTATGATTGAAGTACCGGTACATTCTAAAAACTTTGAATATTGAAAAAAAAATACCATGAGAACAGATATACATGTATGATTAAATATAAGTATATATATTGTTTTTCATGCGATTAAGGCATATAATGAAATATTGTTTGTTGTCCCTCCAGAGACCTAGAAAAAATTGCTATGGACTGCAGGACTCAGGAGGGAAGCAAAGATATTCTGAGTCCGTGATGCTAAATGTATGTGTCAATTGAGAATGTGCGACTGTCAAACTTAATAACACAGTACTTATCAATTTATTTTTCACATTAATTTTCAGGTTTTCTTCCTGAAAACAAGAGAAAAGTTTGGAGAGATGCCTATAAGAAAGTTTATTATGAACAGAAAATTGAAAATTCAGTTTGAGGACGACACTATACGAGAAAGGTTTGAAGAGTTGCTGGAGCACCGCTGCACTAAATGTAAGGACCGGTATCCAGAGAAAAATTTTAAAGCACTCAGAGATCATATGAGACGTGTCCACACCTTATTTTATTGTGATCTTTGTTTAGAATTGAAGGTAAATTTAAATTTATTTCATAACAAATCCGATATCTCCATTTGCATACAAAATAAAAGCAGGTAAATTTGTGTTTGAAAGTAAAGGGACTCACTGAAATGTCTTGTTATAAAAATAAAGCTGCTTGAATTTTATGAACAAATTAAGAAAATTAAATCTTGTTTTCAAGAATAACTTGATGAGGAAATTCACTCATCTGATTAATAACTTTCTCTTTTCAAAATGAAACATAACATCATTGATGACACTATAAATCTTCGTATTGTAATTTTAGATTTGCATTATTTTAGATTATCTGAAAACTTTTGAAATGTCATAAAAACTTTATTCTTTGTATTTTTGGTTTAATCAGATATTCAGTAGTGAGCGCAAGGCATACAATCGGCATGACCATGCCATTCACCGTCGTGTTGGTGACAAAGACGATAAGTCATACAAAGGTCATCCATTGTGTCAGTTCTGTGAAGAAAGATATTTAGACAAAGATGAACTGTACAAGCATCTTAGAAAGGATCACTTTTATTGTCATTTCTGTGAAAGTCTTGGATCTCAAGAATTTTATAAGTAAGTTAAGCTTTTGTGTATAATTTTATTTACTGTAATTAACAGGTTGAGGGGTGTTTTTATATAAATGTGTTTAAAAGCTGTACATATATACATCTGAAACAATTTTGATTCTATTCACAACCAACAATAAACACGGAAAAAATCAATGTGAGTTTTAGTACCTCTCTCACTAGTCAACTGCTATATTAGGTTACATATGATTGGTTAATTTTACTCAGTCCTCCAGTCAGTGAGCGTGTGGTGTTGTATTTTCGGTGAGCAAATCAGAATGGCTACAGATGTCAAAGTAGTAAGAAAATTCTAAGAAATCCTCCAACAAAACTTAAATAAAGGGTGTAGGAATGCTTAAGGAATTAAACATAGTAACATAAAATATATGTTTTGTGGTTATGTCCTGTCCGAAGTTAGTATTAGCACAACTAAATTGATGCAACACATGAAAAGAAAGCACTGATATTAAAGTGTTAAAACGCCTACTTTAAGTTCAGAAAAAAAAGTCAGATCTGTAAGTGTAGTCAAATTAATACTGTGATAGTTAGTTCGATTATAATTGTTTTCCAAATAGACCACTTTTTATTTTCATGAACACTACTAGTAATAAGAAAGAAGTCAAGTAAGTTGAGATAATGTTTATACAACTAAAAAATGGGGAAAAAAATGTTAAGGGGCACACTTAAGAGTTAATAAGCAGAATTGTCAACTAAAGGCAAAATAAAAATAAGCCATGAATCAAATAAAAGATAATAGAATTGGGATGCCTGAAATTGAAATAGATTACAACATTTGGTGAATCGTTGTGCACAGCCCTATTTGACTTACACATAACTTTACATTTAAATAGAATTTATCTCTAACAGTATATCAGTTATGTTAAATATATATCTATTATATTTAAAGTGACTATTCATCACTGAGAGATCATTTTGACACTGACCATTACCTATGTGAGGAAGGAGAATGTGCCAGTGCTCAGTTTACTAACGCCTTTCGTTCCGACATTGATCTGAAAAGTCATCAGGCTCAAGAACATAGTAAAGCCCAGACTAAACTTCAAGCAAGGCAAGAAAGAACCATCAACATTGATATCAATTATGCACCTAGACCAAATAGTAGACCACAGAGAGGTAAGTATTTCTTCCATTTTACTGACTAGCTTGTCTGCCTTTAATTTATGTTGAACTCTATATTTAAAAGAAATAAGTCTTCATTTCCATGTAGGTACTGTACAGTAGGTTCAGTCAAACTTGATATAGCAACTCACTGAATTAAACAACTGCATGTCATATGTACACAAACCCTAATTAAAATTGCACACCATAAATCATTTATACAGTCAGTGATTTAAACAACTCCCTGTCTGACAGTTGTGTCCTAAAGTGACATTATTTTGTCACTAAGATACTTGACAAGACAGGTATTTGAGTATAATTAGTCAAACAGATATCTGAACTGCATGATTTTTCAATGCTGTGAAAATGCTTTTGATGTTAACTGTCAATGCAAAAGGTAGTAACATTGGGAGTTATAAAATCTTGACTATTGTAACTAGTCTTGGTCAATTTTGTGTACTATATTTTATTCATATTTTAAGTTTCCCTATCATACATGTATGTAACCTTTTTTTTGATGGTCCCATAGTAATAAGGTTTGCATGCAGTTGGCGTCTATAATCCACATTAGGTTTGCTTCAAATAAAATGATATTATCCGGATACATTGTTGTAGATTGTTAACTTGGTAAATATGTTTTAAGGCCATTAACAATGAAACAAGTTTAGAATTTTAGTATAGACAACCTTTGTAAGCAATAGCTTTATTTTATGAACCACACTTTATAAGGTTTGAGTCACTTTGCAATTGTAGCACATGGTTCAAGTTGCAAGTATACTAATATACTGAACACACCAACATTCACTAGTTATACATGGAAAGTGCTATTCACTTACTATAATATACCTCACATCCACATGATGTAATATTTGGGGGTATTTTTAATGCATTTTGTTCTGAGTAAAATGTATGATAACCATTCTTGTACTATACATGTATTTCATTTATAAATCAATTACAGGTAGAGAACCAAGAAGAGATGAGAATGAAGATGGACGGAGGGGTGGTCCTCGAAATCAGGGTAACAGAGGTGGTAGAGGGGGGAACAAATACACCAACAACTATACCTCACATAGGTGAATAGTGATTGTTTTTCTGTTGGAAGTTTTTATAAGTGTCAAGATTGTGCAGATTTAAGCTTGTACAAACTTTTATAATTGTCTTGAGACATTGTAAGATTTAATTTAGTTTATTTATTGTAAACCTTTCTTGCTGACAGTCAGTTAATATGATTCTGACAAAGCACCAATTCAAAAAGTCAGTGAAGACATTGTGTCAAATGAATTTTTTATTTTCTAACTAATGTAAGCTCTTTTTGCTATTATCAAACCTTATATATCATTCTTGAATCAATTACTTTAGCATAGTTTGAAATAAAAAAAAATTCAAAATTATAAATATAGACAAAACTGGCATGATAGCTAATATCAAACTGGTGATGTAAGTTCTGCCTTATTCTGTAAGTTAATTTGATACATGTGCATACAAGTTGAGAATTGATGTTGTTATTATAATATAATGTATTTTCTATGGCATATTAGGGAGAAACAAGACATAGATAGAGCAATTCAAGCTTCTCTCAGTACAATGAAGGATGTGGACATGAAGAAAGAGAAACCTAAAGCTGATTCATCGTCATCCTCTGAAGATGATTTTGCTCGCACTGAGGAACATTTTCCTGCCCTTGGCGCTCAGGCTCCTGTGGAAAACAATGTTTCTGCCAGTGTCAAGTCACAAGCTACTGTCTCAACAACAACAACATCTACATCAGTGTCTACAGCAACATCAGACAGTAAACCGTCACTAGCTGACAGATTTGCTATGTCAAATAGTATGTCAGTTCAACATGGTGGTTTAAATGACTTTCCAACATTAACATCTCGAAGTGACAGTTCTATTAATAGTTTGCCTGCAAAAGGACGAGGTGCAAAATTTACTTCCACTTTTAAAGCTAAAAATCCTGAAGAAGATTTTCCGGATTTACCATCTAGTAATAAGTCTTCGTTTAAACCTTTACAAACAGGTTGGACTCAACCAGAGAAAAAGATAAATGTGATAGACAAACCTGCAACAAAGAGACCTAATAGCAAACATAAAATACCTCAATCTTACAATGTTAATGACTTTCCATCATTAGGAGCACCTTCTAATAAATCAAGTAATGATAAATGGTTTAATTCCTCTTCTAAAAAGCCGTCTAAAGAAATTAAGAATAGTAATAATAATGTTACCCATACAGAATTGACTAGTAAGGAAGTTATAGATCGTTTTAGTCCTATTAATGTACCAGATTCTCCAAAGTCTGAAAGAAATAAAAATAAAAAGAAGAAAAAGAAGGACAAATTAACAGTGATTAAAAATGAAGACGCTGGAAATAATGGTTCCCTAAAAGGTAATTCTTCACTGGATGACATAGCTAGTCTGTTACTGAAATCTGAAATAAAAGAAGACTCTGGTGTTTCAGGAAAACAGGAACCAGTAGTGAAATCAAATCAAGATAATAAAGTAGAACCCAAACCTGAAAAAGGAAAAGGCAAGAAAAAAATTGATAAGATAGAAAAGAAAATGGAGTCTGAGAAAGAAGTACTTAATATAACAGAACTAAAAATATCTGAACCTGTATACAGAGAAGCTCAACCACAACTGGTGAAATTTGCAATTGCTGATGAGGATTTTCCAAGTCTGGGGTCAAAAAGTCCGAAGAAACCACCCCCTGGATTTAGGAATGAGAAAAAATCAGTTCAGTCTAATGCTCCACCAGGTTTTGGAAATCCAGCAAGTGCTAACAACAAACCACCGCCAGGATTTAGTTCTCAGTCAATGTCTGGAAGTTTAAACAATGGGGTTTTAGAAGAGAAAGAAATCACTATTGGGACAAACATGGACAATTACCAGTATTACCAGCCAGAAGGTTTTCAGGAAAGAAATCAGCTGTTGATTAGTACTATTAGGTCATTCTGTGATTCAGATTCTATGCAATTCACAGACTTTAAAACCCTCTCTGGTGAGTTCCGTCGCTCTGACATCACAGCTGGTCAGTATTACAACAGATGCTGTGAGATTCTTGGCAAGGAGAATTTCTTAGATGTCTTCCAAGAACTGCTAGCTTTGCTTCCAGATATTGAGAAACAACAAGAGTTACTGAATGTGTACATGCAGTCAGAATGTATGAAGAAACCAGATAATGTGCTAAAAATAAGTGGGAAAAGTAGGAATGCCAAAGGTGCTTGGACAAAGACCCAGTCAGGTTTCTTGACTTGTCAGACATGCCGACAAGTGCTTGTGAGAAAGGACTATAATGGCCACATGGTAATTCACAATATAGATTCAGACTTTCCCTCACTTGGTGGTGAGTTTGGATCTGGTCAAAGTGTTGGTACTGGTGGAAGCTGGGTTAAGGCCAAGTAACCTTCTTAAAGTTGTTGTAGTGGAATAGGTAATATAAACATTTAATCAGGAATTATGCAAAATCAAACACTGTGATAGTAAATTTTTATTTTCAACTGCAGAACAATGTGTATCCTGTAATGTGATAAATGAGTAAAAAAAAACCCAGAAGATGCCAGTATTTTCAGAATTTTTTTATATGTAATATTCATTTTCATATGTTACAGGAGATATACAGGGCTGTACAAATTTGTTTTGAATCCAGTTGTCCAAGACAACTAACCTAATAAAATAGTGTTGTCCTAAAACTAATTACAAGAGTCGAAGTCTTATAAATGTAAAACATAATGTTCAGTATGCTTATTATGCATATCGAAATTTTTTACAGTTACAGTTTGCATTTTATTTAGTATACAATAAAACATTTTGTTGCAACTGAAATAATTCTAATTGTCCAGGACTCTTCCCATGTACCATTCAACTTTAATAGCCTGTGTTTGTTTTGACTCAGTTTCACAGTTTCAATGAAAATTTGTCTGTTTTCGTAAGAACTATTACTATTTCAGCTAGTATGTTTGATTGTTTAATAGTAGATAGTTTCTTTTTTAATATTTTAATCCTTGGTCTGCTGTGTATTTAATGGCTTGTTAGCATAGCCACTGTGATCTGGCATTAATAAACAAGATAACAGCAATACTGTTAATCTTACAGCTGTAGCTAATTAACCTCTGATATTTATCTAAGTACACTCGGTATGGAATATGCAGTCTTTATCATGATATAATTTTTTATCAGTATATGTTTATGTCAAGTGGTTTAACCTTGATAAACATAAAGCAAAACAATAAGAATATTTACAGTTCACTAATATTTTTACATTCTTATGTACATAAATAAGACAACTTGACAAAAATTTGTCTCTTTACTACAAATCACAATGAATATTTTCTTATATTGAAAGTAGATTCATGTTTCTTTTGTATGAACACACAGTGAATAAGATTTAACTTTCATGTCTTGTATTCTTGTGATATAAATTATTTGACAAAATATATCGTTTTCATTATTTCATATTCAGAATCGTGCGATTTATATTGGTTTCCTGAACAATTTCCTCATCACTTTCGCACTCTGCCCACAATTGCTCTAATACTTTGTTAACATTTATCCTAGCGTTTGCTATTTTACTTTGTTTACTCCAGCATTCATGCTCCAAAATCAACTGCGGTATAATTTGCATAAAGAATATGATTGGTCACTTTTACACAGCATAGAGTATGTCATTATCACAAGTTATCTATTTATGAATGAAAAATTTATGCATTTGCTAACAAAAAGTAGTAAATGTGAATACGAGGCTGTTAATGTGTAAACTCTTTGGAAACAGACTGTGCCCATGATCCGTATTGACACAGCAGACTGTGTTCCTGTATAGCAGGCAAGGGGTTAATATTGTTCTTCCACAAATGATAAAAATCAGACTTTTACAGGACTTACTTTCTATTTATTGTCACTTGTCCTTGGTGTTTTTTAGTTGTCCAGGACGTCAGTCTATAGGATTTATAGAGCCCTGATATCTGAGAAAATTCAATATTTTATCATCAAGATTTACCTATACTCAGATAATCTTTTTTGTGTGGAAAATAAAATGAATTTCACTAGTGTTTTATATAATTTTATAAAAAAATATGTGACAGATTCTTGTGTGTTCCTGACTAGCATTTTCAACGTTGAAAAGTTTGACAGTGATTTGTATACAAGTTATGAGTGCTAAAATTACAATTTACTTTCATTTTTCCACTTTATCGTTGATCTTAATTGAATGAATGTCAAGATTTTTTATTCTTTTCCCCCTTTTTTTGACATATTTTGTCAGAAGTGTGGCCACTTCAATTATTTATTATATTTATTTTGTGTGAAATGCTTTAAAGTTTCATTTTTTTAGTGCTTTAAAAAAAACAGTGCAGCATTTGACAGTTTTGACTCCCAAGTTACCTTAAACATTTTTGTTTTGTTTTTTATTGTTACTAAAAATGTACATAATTTAGGGATTCATTTACTCCAGAGATAAAGTTTGGGGAAAAGATGTGTCAAAAGGATTGTTTTCAATTGTGAAAATGTCTTTATGATTTTTAGTTCAAATCAGGGTAAAGTTAAAAAAAATTTTTGGTAGAAGGTCTGAAATATATTTGGTAGTTACTTTTAATTTTTTGCTGTTACTCTATGTAAGTTTGTATAATACTGCTTTTATATGTTAGCCAGTAAAGCATAAACCCAATAATAGTGCATGTTACATGTAACAAATCTAAAATAATTGTATAAATCATAAGCAAAAATTGTGTTTTTGCAAATGAATTGAAATTGTGAATTTAATTAATCAAAGGAAATAATGTCATGTTATTTTGGTTATATAAATGAGTGTTAGTATTGAGGAATTAGGGTGTTGGTTTGTGGCAGACAAGGGCAGTAACTCTTATGATTTTATTTATCAATAGCATCAAAAAGAGTATATTTTCTCAAATTTTAATTATTAGACACTATTCATTTTTACTTAAATCAAATATTAAGATATCTCAAGATTTTTTCTGATTATGCATTAAAACATTGTTCCGGGAATGCAAAATGTAGTTAAATGGATATTTTATTTGTATAAGCCATCTATTTGATTAATGCAATTTAAATTGATATTCCATCACCTTAGTGCAGAAATTACAAAATCCTTACACAATTTAATAGGAGTTACCCATTTCTGCACAGAGGTGACAATACATGATCCATTCATGTATTAAATACATCATAATTATGTAGACTAAAAGCAAGAAATTAAATGTCCATTTTAAAGCGTTAAGAGAAAATAAGAGCGGAAAACAACAAACAGCAAATTATCAGAAACAAGTCTTGAATTTTATTGGCAGAAAATTGTGGGAAGCCTATTAACAAAACAACTTTCACATGTATATAGTACTATATACAACATAATTTCAATAGTCTGGCATGTGTAATAAATGCCAAGATGTTGTCAGTGAAACAAATTATATGAGTGAATGAAAGCTAATAAGCAATAAATCATTTTGGAGCAAAATATGGGCCCAAAAGAATCTTACTTTCTACATTGTAAATGTGTTATAGATGTTATGATAATGATAATAAATTTTTGATTCCTTGAGTTTGATTAATCAAATGTTTTATATATTGATTTGGTTACTATAAAAATGGCAATGTTTGTGTTTTGAGGACAAATTAACATACATGTACATTGTAGTTTCAGAGAAAAGATTTTTCTAGATCCTAATATTGTTGTATTTTCATGTTTTCCTTTGTAGATTTGTTACATGCTTACATTGTTTTTTTAAATAAATACAACTTTCATATAACTGTTTTTGTTTCTTGTTTTCATATTTATACAGAGAGTATTTTGTATAAACTAGGTAATTCAAATGAATTTAAGTGTGCAGAAACGTTCTGTGAACCTTTTGAGTTTGACTATTTGAAGAACAGTGAGCCTGGGTGTCGGTGTAACACTGGTTCAAGTTTTATGTGCATCTTGTATAACATCTTGTCCCATCAACCACAGAAGATCTGGTTACTTCACACACTTATTTGAGGTCAATATATAGGAGGCCCATGAATTAAACTAGCATGGATTTTGAAAGACTTATGACCCTTTTTGAACTTTGATAATTCTTGGTTAAAACATTGTATGCAACATAGGTCTTCAATACTATTGAAGGTTTTCATTTGAAACTTTATAAATGTCTTCTTATGTTATTTTGTTGTGATTAATGCTTCCGAGGGATCACTTTGTTTCCAGAATTTTGTACTTCACAACAGCAGGTGTCAAGTGCTGTGTGGCAGCCGTAAAAAGTTGCCCCGTACTTCACTTCAGTGTTGTTATATTTTCTGGTCCTTCGGGATCATTGATACCAACACTATTAAGTGTTGAGAATTGAGTACCGCTCAAGCCGGTGCTAGGGGGCGTGGAGGGATGTTGCACTTATTCATTATCCTCATTACAGACTCAATCAAAACCGAGTCTGCAAATTCTTATGTTATTTTGTTGTGATTAATGCTCCGAGGGATCACTTTGTTTTCCAGATTTTTTGTACTTCACAACAGCAGGTGTCAAGTGCTGTGTGGCAGGCCGTAAAAAGTTGCCCCGTACTTCACTTCAGTGTTGTTATATTTCTGGGCCTTCGGATCATTGATACCCAACACTATAAAGTGTTGAGAAAATTGGAGTACCGCTCAAGCCGGTGCTAGGGGGCGTGAGGGATGTTGCACTTATTTCATTATCCCTCATGTACCAGACCAAATCAAACCGAGTCTGCAATTCTATGTTATTTTTGTTTGTGATTAAATTTGCTTAATACTATTGAAGGTTTTCATTTGAAACTTTATAAATGTCTTCATATAGGTCAATATCGCAAGCCCATAAATTACGCGAATTTTAACTGAATTTTGACCCTTGTGAACTTAAAAAAATGATAAATATCCTAATACTTGTAACATGTAACTGACCGCTCTTGTTAGCTAAGGGCTGAGCTTTTGTAGTAGCAATGCGTCTATCAGCATTGTACACAATTGTTTTGAGAAAAAAAAACATTTCTTAAAACACAAGGTGGAACTTATAAAACATTCCGTGATAAACAACAAGAGTTAATTTATTAAATCTTTTGAAACAACAAACGAAATGATACTTTTGGTTTAGCATACATACATAATAATGTTCAGTACTATGTTGGTGGTACAACTATACATTTCTCTTCTATACGTATCAGAGAGTCATTATTTTTAAGGACTCTTGTATACCCCCTAACACAACTACCCTGTCCTTTCTGAAACATACACAATAAGGGACGAATTCCAATTGTTCCCACGTCATTAGAACTCTACTTTTTATTTCTAATTGCTGATTTATGTGTAACATATGGCGCAACTCTTCATCCTTGTGAACAATAGTTACAACGGCCCCCGTTTCTTTATCCCTCCCAGCAATCAGTATATTTCCTTCAGAATCCACAGCTGTTCCACGAGGCGAGCCTAATTGTTTGAACGTGAAAATAAGTTCCGACTTTGTGTTTACACAAAACAGTGCACAGGCGTCAGAATCAGTTACAAGAACATTCCCTTCTGTTGTTGCAGTTAAATGCCAAGGATTGCATGGTTTGTCACTTATTGTAGGTAATTGGATAGTCCCTTGCCTTTTACCATCCGAATCTAACAAACATATTTCTCCAACCTGCAGGCCAACCGCCAGAAAACTGTTTAATAAACAAATACCCAAGCATCTGCCCTTAATGTCATATGATTTAACCGGTTCTATGATCATATCCTCAACAATAAGTTGTTGAATTTGAGTGTTTCCCATCGTCACATAAATGTCTTTACCTTTGGAACAAATTGCCCATGGCTTAGCAGGGAGCTCGTAAGAGGAAATGAATTGAAATGTTTTATCGACAAATTTCACTTTTTGGTTACTTCTGTCAATTAATATTGCATCTCCCGTTTCGAGAAATGCTGCAGACGACACTATACATTTTTCTTTGTCACTGGAAAGTCGAACCTTATATTTTCCATATCTCTCTAATGACAATTGATCAAATGGCCTTATCAGTCTTGGCAAGTTATGTTCTGGAACCCTATTTGATTCTTCATCTTCATTCCTGTTTTCATTTCTTAAACTTTGCATATCCATATTTGTACTATTTAATTCCTGATGCTTACTATTCTCGTCCCTTTTAGAATCTTCCGACAAACAATTGACTGATGCAAGGATATCACAATCAGTATTTTGGAATGTCTGGTTCTCCTCGGGGCTATTTGCCTCATTATAATCTTGGTTCAATCTTTTATCATGATTGATAAATTCAGGTGAGTCCGATTTAGATCTTGTTTCTTTTTCGTTGTCCCTTTTTATTGCCTCCTTACTCAAGTGTTGATGTATACGTTCAGGTGCGTCAACGGATTTAGTATCCCATGCTATCCTTACACCATAATTTGTTAACTCGTCATCTGTTTGAACTCCGGTGTCAGTCCAATAGTCAGTCATACCAACTTCACTGTCTGATGCTTCTTTCCTTCTCATTAAATCATTTTTGTCTTCTTGTTGTACTTCATTATTTACATGGTTATTGTCACTTTCATAATTTCCATCGTATAAATGTAGCTGTGGAATAACAACTTGACTACTATTTGTATCAACTTTACTTTCATGCACATTTTCCATTTCTTGTTCTTCAAGTTCAGTTTGCACGAATTTATCTTCCCTGTACGCTTTTATCCTCGATTCCTTATAATTTGGAGTAATTTCTTTGTTTGGTTCTACCACAGTATCCAATAAACCGTTCCTATCCCGTGGTGTTTGAGTAGCTATCGATATTCCCTCAGATATCCTCACCGTATTGTCACTATTTATGCTAACTAATATTCGTGATTGTTTTTCGATTTTCGTGTTATGTTTTAAAATGGAGTCATCTTGAACATTAAATTTTGATTGTCCAGTTTGTGAAGAGACTGTCCCCATTTTGGATTCCGAATCGTCAATAAACTATATCGGCAATAAACTCTTTTTCTCAAATGTGTGGCTCTTTTAGCCCTTATAATTTCAGAATATTGTACAATTGTGAACATGGTAAAAGTAAAACAATGCGTATGTGGATCTGCGCTGAGCGGTGACGCGTTCATTGTAGTCTTTGTTTAGTCTCGTAAAGATATATTCATTTCACATATTATATTACATGCAAAATATTTTTTTTTACTCAAAGATATTGGTTTTACTTTTGAACATGCTAAAGTATGATTAAATAAAAAAAAACTTGTAACACTATTATGCCACGGCACACATATAACTTGTCTAAGATTTATTTATTTAAAGTTTCTATATAAACATGTCTTATACAAATTTGTTAATTAATTAAATCATATTTTAACCAAAGAAATCCTTGTGCAGTTATATAGATTCGTTTTAAAGACTGAAACAATACTGAATTTATTGAATGTGTTGAGTAAAATTACATATGTACCTAAACGAGTGAAAGTCGATTTATCACATACCAAAAATAAAAAACTGTTTAAAGTAACTAACATTTTGCGCGTCTTTTACACTTACACTTGCTTGTATAACGCAAATGACGTTACGTCAAATTTTATCACTCCACGTGATTTTGTCACTATAGACAAAGAAGGAAAAAAACGGTGTTAACCTGCCAATAAACACTGGTAAGGGACTACTTGTATATGCGGCTTTTATGTTTTCTCCCTCGATTATATAGTTTACAAAGCCTTTTAAAGCAACAATAAAAAACATTTTTATTTATATTTTCTGTTCTTATAATGTTTTCTTTTCATACAATACCGAAATAATATCTCACATACACTAACGCCACATATTAGATCCATATCAGTTAATAAATATTTTGACAAAACTGCGCCAATCCGTAAGCAGCGTAATGACGTCATCCTAAGTAAACAACTCATTCATAAACAAGCTGACGTTATTTCATACATACAAGAATGATAAATGGGGCTGAAAACACAAGTTTTTATTGTTGAAAACTTGATAAAATAACGTTTCTTTCTTATTATTTATTTTGTTTAATAATTTCTATATCTTTGCAACTGTAGGGTGCGAAAATCGAACAGCGTTATACGAAAATCGGCACCGGAAGTTATTTCCGCTTGAAAAATAACATAAGTGATCTTCCTTATTTTATCGTGATAGAATCGAAATAACATCGACCTGAGAGGTGTATATCGGCTATTTAACACCGGTTTTGTCGTTTTGACGCGAAAAAATTAACCACTAAGGCCTACGGCCTTCGTGGTAAATTCCTACGCATCAAAACTCCAAACCGGTGTTAAATAGCCGATATACACCTCTCAGGCCGATGTTATTTCTTGAATATATGCACAGCAGTGCAATACCATTTTTACGGAGTCGCAAAATCGGCACGGGTACAAGTATGTGATAAAAACTGAATATTTCAACCGTTGTATAAGAGCGACTTCAACATCTATATATTGGGCAGAGCTGGGGACAAAGCACGTTATATTATGCGTGTTACAGGACATAAAGCAGAATCTTCAATAAGAAGTTATTCGTGTCGACAAACAGAGGACAATCAACGTGACATGAGTAAACGTTGAGGTACTGCTCCTTACAAATCAGCCGGTTGACATCACAAGTTTTAATTAATAACAGTGTGCCTGCACCTGCAACCTTTGGTAATCTCGAAACCGTATCAGAAAATGACATTCTTGAAACATTCAGTGATGACAATATATTGTCATAGAGATTTAGGTGAAGAAATATCTCGCGATGTCATTATGAAATCGTCATCCCAGATCATTTTTTATCCTATTTTTCAGACATTATTTAGTAAGATATTAGAAACTGGCATGTGGAGAGACCTTTACATAAATCCGGTAATAAATAAGACCCTTCATATTATAGAGGTATATCGTTGATACAATATTCTCAAATATTAATCACGATAGGCTATGTACATTGGCCAAAAGATTTAACGAAATAGACGAATATCAAGCAGGTTTTATGGCAAATATCAAGCAGGATTTATGGCAGAATATTCCACTGTTGATAACATGAGGCCTCGCCACTTACTTTTTTAGCAGGTGGTAAGTCGGACCACTGGATTTGAAATATAGGTGGTCCTTCTGGAAGTCAAGTGGTCCATCATGTTTTTGTTGTTGTTTTTTTCATTCATTAAATAAAAAATATTCAGATTTTGAAAAAAAATACACAGAGATATATTATTAACAACTAAAGAAAACATATATTGATAGATATATAAATAATTTTCATCTGATCAGAAATTAAGGAGAGCAAGTCAGTAGGTATTCTGTTGTAAAGTGATTTTTTTATCTCATTTACAAATAGATATCAGAGCTGCACTTATTTAGGTAAAATTTTATGTTGAATGGAATTCTTTCTCAACTCAAGTTAGAGATTAGCGATACCACATTAGTCTGCCATATTCTCTAACTCTTATTCAAATGCTCATTGTTGTTACGTGATACGTCTTATAATAATTATCTTTTATAGATTAACATTTTTCATAAAAATTATTAAATTGTTAATTAAAAGTTAAGTGCGAAAAACAGATCTTTTATTGTTGAAATAAAGATAAGAAGTCAAGAATTACTACCGGTAGATATATTTTTTCAATTTTCTTTTGTTTGCTGCCATTATTCAAGTATCTAAAATTAAGTTTATCCGATATAAAATACAATATCACAATTAAATAAAATTCAATACTAGTGTCATTTGAATGAATCTTTTACCTAAATTAATAAAACAAGTTCTTTCCTTTTTAACATACGTAAGCAAAATTTTTAGGCTTAAGAACTTCTTTAATTAATGAGATGAATGAACGTATACATGTACGTCGGACAAATGATTTTAAACAGAAAGTATATAACATGTTTTTTTACCAAATCGCCTTCCTCCCAGAAGAGCCTTGCACCATCCTGAAAATTCAAGTGGTCTGACGGACCAGTTGCTTGTAAAACTAGTTGGTCCTTGCCAAAATCAGGTGGTCTCGGACCAACGGACCACCGCTAATGTCAAGGCCTGTAACATTTTTACTAAACTTTACAAAAATACATTAGTAAACCTGGTGTTGGACTGTTGAATTTCCAAACGCCTTTGATGGACATTTGCACCATAAATTGTTCACTAGTTAACATCAAAATGGCGTTATGGGAATATACGCGGTTTGTTCTTTCAGACAAGGCAATGGACGTAACCAGTACAATAATATTTTATTTATGTATTAATGAGTTATCTCGCTTACTACGACCGCAACGATTCAAATTAATTACATTATATGTGTTCTTTTCGAAGACGACGTTGCAAATTGTGCTGAAACAGCAACTGAGTTACAAATGCAATTATAGTCTATTTCAGAATTTTGTAGTGATACAGGCATCACTTTAATTGAGTTAAAAACAGTAGTAATTGTGTTCCGAAACAGCGGTCCGTTACGAACGTATATATTGGTTATACTCGCGTGTAAAGGTAACAGTTTGCACACCTTTCTTGGTCTAGGGCGAAAGCAGTTTGCTGCGCAAGAAAGGATATCTATTTTTGTGAATAGAACATTTGGTTATTTTTTTTTACATGACGAATATTTTATATTATTTGATTCTATGGCAAAACCTATTCTTACGTATGGGGCTGAAATATAAGGTAAAGAATACTCGGATATTTTAGAACAACTTCATATTCAATATTGTAAAGATTTCCTTGGAGGCATTTCTTCTGTAAATGGTGGTGTAGCTTTGGGAGAATGTGATAAACTCCACACTCAGTATTGATCATCATACATTGTATTAAATGTATAAAATACTGGTGCAAACTCTTATGTATGTCTGAAAATAGATACCCATTTTTTATTAATTTAATGTTTAAACAGCAAGATAGTTTAGGAAGGATAAGTTGGGCATCTTCCATTAGAAATTTGGTATTCAGATACGGTTTTGGATTTGTTTGGTTAAACCAAACTGTTGGTGATATTATTAATGTATTTCTGCATTATTTTAAACAGAAACTTGTAGATTTATAAAACACACACTGGTATCATCAGATTACCGATTCCACGTGTTGTAATGCATATAAACAATTCAAAACTATGTTAAATCCTCTACTAATTTACCGTTTTATGTCAGAAAAGCATTTGCTAAATTTCATTGTTCAAGATACAAGTGAATCTTGGGTGTTATTTCAGTTCTCGGGTTTCTAATTACAATATGCACTATTACCCTGAGAGACGTGCGTTATTTTTATAATCCCACAATAGCATTTACTCAGAAAATGTAACCTGTCAAAATCTATATAACTAAATCAATGTTACATGTCAGTAACTAGTTAATGTTTGACATGAATAACCAGTTTTAATTTCATGAAAGACGAATTTTTTTCCTTGTGGTAAGTACTAAATATACTTGTAGTTGATTAACTCTATACGCGTTGCTGTTTTTTATAACAAGAAACTTTTCTTTAAAAAAACATGACGGGACTGGAAATATTTTCCCGAGATTCGTGCACCATTTGGTGTAGCACCAATAGGCCTCCTCCCTCACACCGCTTTTCCAGAATCATCATTTCTTATTGTGCAAAATGACAAAATGGCAAAAAAATGCAAGGCTTCTCACTAGAAATGGGCTCATAATAGTCATTTGGCAATTTTAGTATATTACTTATAGTGTATTATTCAACAAATATAGGAATAATAAAACCCAAGAGTATATAATTCTGTGCAATGAAAATGCCTAACAATATTCACAATATTTAAACATTTTTATTTCATTGAAAGGCCATCAGGCTTAAAAGCCAATTGGGCAAACATAAACAATACTTTATACAAAACAATTCATTCATGTTAAAATATTTTTATTATAGCATTATATATCTAACAAACATATTAATTTTTGAAATATTAAATTTGATTGGACTATTACGTGCAAATTTTCCATAAGTGTCCAAAATATTGATAAAAGAAATAATAAAAATGTATCATTTGGATATTCTTATAAAAAATTACTTGAAAAAAAATAATGTTTAGTTGATATAAAGTTCTAAGTTATTTAGTATGAACATTTATGTGACAATAAAAATATTTTGTGCTAGAACATTTTATTATCTGCTATATAGATGTATGTAATAACGGATCCTGTATCGAACACTGAGCAGCATCATTTATACATAATTCTTATAACCAACGTAATTATTTATTTTATAACATACCTTCAATTACAGACCGATTCACTTTAACTGAATGTAAAAAAAAACCTAACAAAATGTAACATATTTCTTCTATTTCTACAGATCGCTGGTCCTCCGTATGACTATATTTTAATCGTTGTCTTTTCATGGTTCCCAAAATAAATTAACCAGTTTGTCATTCCTTTCTGTCTTGTTTATTTAGGCTAGAATTAGATTTTTGGATGTCTAAGACATTTCGTCTATTTGCCATGCATATACATAATATCATGTCTTCCGTTGTAAGTTTAAGTCATTGTGGCTAAGATAAACTTTTCTACTTTTCTCCATAATTTAGCGACGTTTAAAAAAATGTATCGTATTAAGCGATTTCTGGGAGTTTTTATTTTTGTCACATCATAAAGCTGTGTAAGAATGGTCGGCAACCGTTAACTAAATCAAAAATGCAAGAAGGGATAAAAAATTAAGATGTTTATGTATATGAATCAAAGACAACGATCTAATTTGAATAAATGACAACATGATCTAAGCAATTATGAGAAAGAGTGAAACCTTTAAATAGATAGTACAATCTGGAATAAATACATGTATATATAACTGATAACGAGAAGGCGGCGATTTGCAAGAGCAGCCTTTTCTGTTGGGTGCGTGTGTGCTTCTTTGACAATACAAAGATGCAAAATAGTAATATCTGCTTCGTATATATCGCACAATGATGTGCTTATCAGTTTGCAGAACATATATACTCGCCAAGATTTACTGCAAATACTGTGTTATTTTTGACCATTCCTCTTACCTCAACGAGTATTTCAATCTGCAAGTATATACTTATCTGTTATAATATGAATATAAATATTGCCGCGTACAATGAAGCTACAAAACTTGCTACAGTCGGTGCTGACGATGATTTAACCTTCTGTCGTTCTATAAATGGACTGTCGTTTAAACATATACGAATTTCTAGTTTTCCATCAATATCGCCCATTACTTCAAATTCACTATCAAAGAGAAAGGTACCATTGTATAAAAGAAGCATATTTTCTACTATCATACTATAATTTGAACCACTGAATTCAAGTGATATCATTTTACAGAAATTCATTTTGTTAACTCTTCCGAATTCAGGCATGGGTATTTTCGAATTTATGATTGGAAATATTGAATTCTGCTGAAAGAAGGGAATCTTCCCGGTATATTGATTTTGTGTTGCCAATTGATACCATTCAGGGACAATTTGATTATTTAATTGCCAGGACGGATAAAGAATTTTATATTCTAGAAAATGTGAAGAAAGAAGCATTTCTGTTTGCAGGGCTAATATTCTCCATGGTTTTGTCATATAGTATTGAATTTCTTTGAGAACTGAACTGTGTTTCCGTCTTCTTTGAGTTGTTTTCAGAAATATGATGAAACTCCCCACGTTCTTACTCTGTTTGCCGGCTATTTCCAATTCATAAAAAAGATCATTAATTACCCACCACTTAGGCCAGGGACAGTCCATCCAAGAACTGACGTCACTTCCGCTTTGCAGTAACGTCATTAATGTGGATTGATTCATTATCTCTGACACAAACTTCAGACGAAGAGCAATGTGATATGGAACACGCCATGTCAATGCTGGATAAAAACAGTTAAAGTTGATGTCATATATTTGACCAGATGGACACAAGACGTCTATGCACGTATCGACTGCCTAAACAAATATGAAAAAAGCTAAGTTATTTCAAAACATTTACGTAAATTTGAACAGTAATATATTTATATACAGTATATTTCTTAAAAAGTATAAATTTCAAAACATTAATTATTTCGTTTTATTGCTACTAACGCTTAATAACGTAAATAACTTAATAACGAATTTTTAAACTATTTATATTTTTATCTTAGTATATAATTATTAAATAAGTAGTAGCAGTTTGCTTATTATTAACTAGAAAAATGGAGTTAATACTTGATTCTGTGCGGTGTTCCTTGTACATGCTGTCGTTCTATGAGTGTGTCTCCTGTTGTTGATATTTGTAAGACTCATCAGAAAATTTGTATTAAGCAAACATGTAAAGGTTTTGCCATTCTCAGGCGGTCCAAATAATTGCGTGTTGAATGTAAAGCAATTTTCAGCTATGAAACTGACGCCACCGTTACATAAGAAACAGAACACGTTGGCGTAAGTATAGTGGGAATGAAACGGTGCAACAGCACCATTGACACACGCTTCAATAACATCATTTGAAGTCATTTCAGACATTTCAGGAATCATTGCTTCTGTGTCATTGCATGTATCAATGATATCTGGAAAACATATTTCTTTATCTATCGTTTGTGTGGGGGTGAAATAGATTTGACAGTAGTCTGAGAACGAGTTGTAAGTGAAAGGATTGATATTTTCAGCGACAGATAAATATCGAGTGTGACTTTTATCCACTGCTTTACAATTCATGTAAGCGAACCATTCAACACCATCACGTACTCCATGACAATCTGCACAAGCACTATTTTTGTAAATCTTTCCTGTGGATTTAGAATAAATCGGAAAAAGGCTTCCCCATGGTGCAACATGAACATTTCCGCAGTCGAATGTGTTATTTTGACCAGAATCTTGCTCATCGGGACATGAAGTTGTCATGTAGTAAAATCTATACTTGTAGTATTCGGTAGGTAGGAGATCCAAAGTTTGTGGAGCGATACATTCCTGGTGTTTTCTTTGATCAATTAATGCGACCTTTTCAGCTTCGGTAGGAAAACAGCAGTCTCCGCGCTTCGAGCAGTTTGCATCGCAAGAACAATCTGTAAAATTGTATAAAAAGAATTAAAATATACCACACTTCCTGAGACATGATTAATACGTAATGTTTCTCGTAATATAAAATGCCATTTTAACTTTAAAATGGCTGATCTAAAAAAAGCGCTGTACATTAAACATTAGAGATATTTGATTGACCTGAACGTGAATTCATAAGTAAATTCCGAACATTTCTTTTTTCACTTCGAAGTGCTTAACTAACTCATCTTTTGACCATTTAATAAGACACAATATTTTACACACCCCTAGCACCGGCTAAAGCAAAATTCAACATTAAACACGAAAAGGGTGAAATTTGAATTAAGAAACATTCGCATATGTGTTCATACGGAGGTTTAGCATGGAAACTTCACTGTCACACTTCGTGCCATTCCATGAAAAGCGGCGTATGGAAAGCGTGCTTGTGGAAAATCGTATATTTTTGAAACTGTTTAATTTGCGCCTATTATGATAGTGCTTTTTAAAAATGTCTTCAATACTTCATGTCAATAACGCTTTCCAGAAACACTTGTGACATTTTTATCGGCACCTAAATTGCAACACCTGCACTACAGAAAAAAGTTGCATGCAAAAACCATATTTGCACTCAGCGAGCTTTTAGCAATTAAAGGACTTTGGATAGCTATGGTAGCTCATATTTTATCATCAATATTCCTTACTGGTTTCAAATTATGCACCCATGTTTCATCACCATTTGTTACATTTGCTAATTTCTTTTTATCATGTTTTGGAAAGATTTTGAGCAGCGTTTATGCTATTTTAACTCTTTGCCGCCCTTGATCGCCATTCAACAAATGAGAAACATTTTTATTCAATTTATACTTTAGAATTTATTCTAACACTCCACGTGATTTTTCACTATAGACAAAGAAGGAAAAAAAACGGTGTTAAACTGCCAATAAACACTTGTTAGGGACTACTTGTTTATGCGGCTGTTATGTTTTCACCTTCGATTATATAGTTTACAAGGCCTTTTAAAGCAACAGTAAAAAGCATTTTTATTTATATTTTCTGTTCTTATAATGTTTTCTTTTCATACAATACCGAAATAATATCTCACATACACTAACGCCACATATTTGATTCATATCAGTTAATAAATATTTTGACAAAACGGCGCCAATCCGTAAGAAGCGTAATGTCGTCATCTTAAGTAAACAACTCATTCATAAACAAGCTCACGTCATTTCATACATACAAGAACGATGAATAGGGCACTGATGTAAACACAATACGACGTGTTGAAAACTTGATAAAATACTATTTTTTCTTATTATTTCTTTTGTTTAATATTTTCTATATCTTTGCAACAGTAGGGTGCGAAGATCGAACAGCGTTATACGAAAATCGGCACCGGAAGTTAATCCGCTTGAAAAAAATAACATTAGTGATCTTCGGCCTGAGAGGTGTATATCGGCTATTTAACACCGGTTTTGTCGTTTTGATTCGAGCCAGGCCTACGGCCTTCGTGGTCAATTCCTACGCATCAAAACTCCAAACCGGTGTTAAATAGCCGATATACACCTCTCAGGCCGATAAACACTCGACAGTGAGATACCAACTATTCTGGCAGTATTGTAAACTACGGGGGATGTCCGGAAAGTTCATATACATGTACTTCTTCATTTTTTATTCTACAACAATACATACGTTGCACAAATTACACATATCTAGCGAACACTTTCATAAAAGATTACTGAACTGTGAGTTACGTTTGTATTTTAACAGTAGTAACATACAACATATATACATCGTCATGTAGCACTTTGACAACGTAAACGGCGTCAAATTAACTTCACGTTTACAGATTATTCAATTTCTTCCGTTTTCACAAGCCATGGTACCAGTATAGATCTGACATCTTTTTCAACAATTTCTGTAACTTTTTTATATATTTTCGACAGCAGGTGCACACGTTGTCCTTTTTGATTTAAGTGCATTTTAAGTAGAGTCTAAATCAGAATCAAAGTATGTAGCAGAGTGCAAACAACGTGGTAAAATTAACGTTGGTAAGGAACTAAATGAATGACTATCATGACACAAAGTAAAAATATGTTAATCAAACCTACCATCACAACAAGAGATTTTCCCCGTCTCGATTTTGGTCTCGTCATTAAGGTTGTTATTTCCACATATATTTGCCAACGGGCAAAGTCTCTTTGCTTCACTCAACATGACATTGGTGAACGTTTCCATCTCAGACGGAACATTCTGAGTTGATAAATCGCAAACCGATGCTAAAATAATCACAACGCAAGTCATATACGACAACATTTCAATAACTTGTTATTCGTAGAGTAAACAGTCTCCCATTACTAGTAGCTACTGTGTCCGCAATATCGTGAATACGTTTGGCTGGTTCATTGTGTTGTTTATACTTATAATCTTGTGTACGGCGCATGCGCAGGGCGTGATAAATTATGTTTGTTTCCATGGTTTACAATGTCCTTCTATCTTCCTGTTTTATGTAAACATTGGATGAAGGGGGAAAATCATATGGTGTTCTCTGATGACGGTTAAAATGAGTTTCACACGTGGAATCATCCTTTTATCTTTCCACATTCATTACCTTAAATATTGTAAGATCGTTAGTTTCTATAAGCAATCTAGCTTGATACATAAATTTACATTAACTTTGCATTTTTCTTAAAACAACTTTTAACAGATTGAATAGTTGTTTGTTGTTGTTGTTGTTGTTGCGTTTGTTTTGATAGACTGAGTACTATAAAATTATATTTTACTCTTACTTATCTAAATTTGAGGAATATTAGTATTCACCCTTACTTCTTTAAAAATATTCTGAATGTTCTTTAAGAATTATGTCCGTGTATATTTAAGCTACTGAATTCTGTACGTGTGTAATAATGTTTTACGAATTCGTTTCGTATTTTTATATTTGAATTTAAAATTTGACAGAACTTTTACTGTTCTTTTCATGAAATTCGTAATTGTTTAACTTCAATCTTCAGATTAAAAAGCACGTGCATAAAACAGTCACAATTAAAAACAGAAGAATGAAGCTTGACTAAAATATTTGCAAGTAATTATTTTTATTTCAATTAATGACTGTCTTTTTAATTTTTTTAGTTTTTTTTCCGAATTATTAAATCATACATATACATGTACGTTAAATCAATTCAAATATTACATGTTGGTTGAATTTAATTTTCTCTAATGGTGCAGTTCAGTATTTCATGAATAGAATGTTATCAACATAATTTTATTGTGAAGAAATGTTTCGCCGATTCACTTTCTATTTGTTATACTATCCTATACAGCAACATGCGTCTTATATTGTACTGATAGTTTCAAGAGTTTATTTCAAAATACATCTGGGCAATATGCCCATGGGTACACAGTGTGTTTTACAAATAAACATAAGTCAATGTCATTACTTTATAGAACATATATTAATAAGTTACACAGTTTTTTAGTAATAAGAAAAGAAAACATATTCAGGGCTTTTTATCATAGTTTTCCCAATTTTACATTCATGTAATTATCTATGCATTTGGCATGGAGCTGAGTTTCACATTTTTCAATACAGTTGTTGCCGTATTTTGACGTTTGTTATAATTTTCTGAAACGTATAAGAAAAAATCGCAGCTTTATTATAATAATTTGTGTTTATTTACTTACTGCTCAACAAATGATAAGTTATACTATAAGCTTGAATTATTCGTAAAGCCCGTCCTGCATCAGATGTGCGTATCATACATGTATTAACGAACGAACTTGTTTCCTAGTATCGTAATGAGGAGACATTGTGATTATATTTTAACAGCTCTGTTGATGATACAGTGATTTCGTTTACCCCATGAATGCGAAAACCAAAAATAAAGTCCAAAACTTTTCCTGATTATTTGATGCGATATATTTCTTGAATGTTGATATTAAATGTTAACATTTTTGCAATAACTCTTTCCTTCTGATAAAGGCTTAAAATGTATAAACATACGATGGTTTTGGCCCTCAAATTTAAACATATCAAAGCTACAAATATGATAAACAAGATGTGAACAACAAGCATGGTTTGCTTATCGAATTTTAACACGTTTAAAGAAAAATAGGATGTAAAATGAGCAAATATTCAATACTGAATTTATTGAACGAGTTGTATAAATCTATATTTTGCGAGCATAATAGTATTTTATTCAACTACATGTACTTCCATAAATTCAGTGTTGATTCTACACGAACATATAGAAAATATTCAAGTTTTATATAAATTGTTAGTCTGCCCTTACTATAGAGATATAAGAATAAAATATTTGCCAAGTTATTATTGCCATTGGCCAACAATCACAAAGTTTGAAAGTATCTTATCATCTAAGTCTAGAAAAATGACTCAAAGTTTATCAAAAAAAATTATACTTTGCCTTTAAAAGAAGAGGTAATTAACATTTTTCTCTTAATTTGTGTAGTAATCTTCCTTTATGTATGTCATCACAAAAAATATCAAATCAAGATTTATATAGTTTGTCATATAACAAATATCCCTCCGCTAACACAAATTTGATAACATGTTGTTTTTGCATATTGCTGCTATTAGCTATGTTGCCTGTCTATTATTGTGATAGAAATGTTGTTGTAATGTTTAAACCAAATAAACTGTATTGTATTATTGTATTGTATTATTGTATTGTATAAATATAGGATTTATTTTCATCGAGTGGTATGACAATAATTATTTAATAAACTCAACTTGATAACAAAAATATTGAGCATAATGTCAAATCAATGGTGATGACGTCCACTTTCTTCGGCTTGCAAAATATTACTTATTAGCAACCATTATATGTACTCTTTAACAACATTAATATTAGCCCGTTAATGATTTCATTGTAACTAACACATTTGCTACCTGTTTGATGTAATTTCCTACCCACGTTTCAATATTACAATAAAATATATAAGTTAACGAGGCTTCACGGGTTCAGCAACATTATTGTTGTTGTCACTCCAATATACTTGTATTATTGTTAAGTGCGACATGACTTTTTTGCTGAGCTTATTAGTAACTACTCATTTACACGTTTGTGTTCATCCTCATTCTAATTAAGGCGGACCATTGTTTGATATTCACATCGTTCGACAAAAAAAATAATTTTGTACATACATACAAATGTATTAAAGAAAAAATTATCAGCAAGTTTTAAATGTTTATTTAAAGGTTTATGTGAGAGAAAATCTATATATCTGTTCAACCTTCTTTATTGTTAAGAATCATGTCCTAAATACATGTACGAACAATAAATACCACGATATTTAGTAGAATGAAGTACGTTTTGTGCAAACGATATAGAAAATAAAAATATTTAAAGCAACAACAACAACAACAAAGATGATTTGTAATGGGCGGTGTGATTCTTTTCTTTACCAAATTGTACCTAATCCTTTAATTATAATACGATTAATGGTCAATTAAAGTCCGTGGATCAAAAACATACTACATTACTTACTACGTATTTGTTACTTTAAAGTTTTCAATACATAAATTCAAATTCGTTTCTGTAAATGTTCTTGATTTCGGTTAAGAATTTAATTCAATTTTAAAATGTGTGTCAAAGTTTCTGGACGAAATGTTTATAGATATCAAGGGTTAAGGGTCGAAGTGTCTATATATTAGACGTCGAATAGTTATACTAATAGGCGCCGAAAAAGTCAAAAAGTAGAAAAGTCTTACTTATCCAATGTAACACGTTATCAAAATGAAGTATATAAAAAGGATGTATATTTTCTATCTGGAATAGAATTAATAGTACACCATAATTTAACACAATTACAGAAATTAAACCATGCATTTCTCGAACGGTTAACAAAGCACCGTTATCCCCCACCACCACCAAAAAAAAAAAGAAAAAAAAAGTAAAACAAAGCAATACCGTTTGACAAATACAAGTAATCGTGATTTGATTACATGGACATTTTAATGTACAGGTAATAAGATAAACAGTGCAAGCATTTTTTTATTATTTTATCCTCTGCAACAGAGTATGATTCTTTAATGTGACAATGTGCCCGTCCAAAGGCATATAGTAAGTAAACAGGTGAAAGTCCAGAAAAGTTAACATTTTGCTGTAGTTTATATTTTTATAATTTACTTAATATAAAAGATAAACAATTCACGTGGCATAAGGAAATTTCTCAAACTATCCATCGGATTTTACATGTAACAATCAATTGACAAAAAGAGTGGGGCAGTCATTATATATTTAAGGCATAAATGTCGTACATATATTTCATCCTAAATATTTTCAAATATATACATTAGGTAATCACCATTATAACAGTCAATCATTTGAAATATATCAGTCAATTCAGCTCAATTTGACAATTTTAACATGATGTCACTTTAAAGTAGGGCCACATCGTGTGCTACGTTTTGCTGTTGGTTGCAATAAAATGAAACATATAGAGTCCATGTGCTAAATGTTTATGATTGACATTAACGCTTTAACATTGTTTTGTTTCATCGATTCCTTTTTTTCAGATGTTTATATACTCGTAACAAATTGCATACTAAAATATGTGTATTGGCAGAATTTAGAAGAAAGTATTCCGACAAGACACTAGTGAAAATACGGGAAATATGTTTCACTGCAGTGAAAACTAAATTTATACAGTGAAAATACAGAAAATAAAAATATGCATTTTATTTCATCAATATTTCTCAATATTTCATTTGTAAGTATATAATATAAATATGATATATATTTCACATAAAATTGAGAAAGTATCCACATTTACACTAACGCTAGGGAATGACCAACGATAATATTGTTAGAACTTTTGCTTGGCCCAGCCTTTTGTATGTACACTTACTTGATGATTATGTTTGTAAAATTTGGAAATTGTATATTGTGTTTATATTTACACAATAAAAACGTTATTGAACTAAACATTAACGCTAAGTGAAATATTGCAATTTTCACACTTCTCAGTGAGATATATAACGTATTCATACAAAACAAATATCCTCTGTTTATCATACTTCTGCCTCGTTGTTTATGTGACCAGTTGATTTTGACAATATTCTGTCAATGACTTGTTTCACACACTTTATTTCCCAGAGGTGTCTATATATTTTTATTTCCAATTCTAAAAATATGTATATTTACTTGGTTTATATTCTTGGTTTGGGAAAAAACTTGAATTCTGAGTGATGTCACTCATACGGATAGTGAATTATATACTTTTGTTGACACTTCACACTCAGAAAATATTTCCTTTAATGATCATATTTCCGTCATAGAGGTTCATAAAGCATTGGCTAATGCCAAGAAAGGTAAATCTTGTGGAATTGATAACATTCCAGTTGAGGTGCTTACCAATGATTCTGCTCTTTCTTTTTTGCATGTTTTATTTAACATTTGCTTTGATAAAGGTATAGTTCCTACTTTATGGAGTAAATCTGTAATTTGCCCGATACCAAAATCATCTACCTTAGATAAACGAGACCCTTTATCATATAGAGGCATATCACTTGCACCTTCAATGTATAAACTGTATTGTTATATTTTAAATAT